TCAGGCGTTCTCCCTCCTAGGTGGTTGACCCCTCGGAATCTCTGCATCCCTAGGCTCAAGAAGACCCATGTACTCGGGGAGAACATGAGCTCGAAGTGATGGAATAGCTACTCGAATATAATTTGCTCTTCTACAACGTTCCTCCTCCACTATTTTGTCGAAAATATCGCTCTCAATATCATCATGGTCCTCCCACTATGCACGATCAGTAATTTAAAGAAGAACCAGAAATGATGTAAGTGTCGTGGATACAACTCTAAACCTTTCTCACTGAACCTCTTCATTGTGCATAGACATGGAAGTCCATATGTCTCTGGTAGCACGCAACCGCACCTCTCAACATTCTTCCTACTTCCTTCTCCCCTCAATAGCTCAATCGCCCATGAAATAACCTTGTTGTTCAAGTGCATAAAAGGCGGTCCATATGCCCATGTAAATACCTATTTAAATGAATACATAACCTAAATAAGAGAAAGCATATGAAAATTATTATCACAATTCAATCAAAATGAATTTACCTTCAATCGTGATTCCTATAGGTCCTTTCGCAATTCAATCACTCTATCTTCCATACAAGCATGGAATCTCATGAAGAGTGAATCAATCTTGTGCCTAGAAGTGTTAAGCCATGACTTCAAAGAGGAGTGAGCTGATTCCATTGTCCCCCCCAACGACTATTTTGTAAGTCCACTCAAGCACTATCAAATCCTTCTTGGGTATTGGCATACAACAATGTTCCCCAAGGACCTCCAACAAAACCCTCTGCGACTTCTCTACTCATTCGAAAGCTCATGAGTTTGGATTCAATGTTCTTCTTCATATGCCATACACATAATAAGTGAGTAGATTCTGGAAAGATCTCGCGCACTGCAACACCCAATCCTCCCTCCTTATCTGTTACAATAGCATTTGGGATCCTACCACCAAGCACACTCTTTAGCTGCGACAAAACCCAAGTATATGTCTCCTTTTTTTCATCTGCCACAAATGCAAACCCAATGTTATAGTTCTTCTGCACCGGAGTAACACCAACCAACTGAACCAATGGCTTCTTATGCTTGTTGGTTTTGTATGTCGAGTCTATCAGAACAACGAAATACCAAGCACTCAACATCTGAAGAGACTTCGGGTGGCAAAGGAAGAGATTAGTAACATGATGATCAATATCAAATTCACACGCAATGAAATACCCGAGCTTTTGAGCTTCCCTCAATGTCCACTGCATAGGTTTCATGCCACCCAATCTCTGTTGCCGAATCTTGCCGTTTTCATTGTAAATTTGTTTCATGTTGTGGTGAGCATCATACGTGTCATTCAAAGACTTCTTCATTTGTTTCGACTGAGTCATCGTTGCCTCCATTTTCTTGATGTCTTCCTTCTTCTCCTTTGTGAGAGTATTTCTTTGGCTGCTCCCTTCAGAATAAAGCTCAAGTTTATGATTATGAAACCCCCTCACACCATCAATTCTCCATTTCAAAGAACCATCCACCAATATTGCTCGTACTACCACTCTGAATCTGCAACCCAACTTGCCCGTCTTCGTATTATTCCGCCTTGGCTTATCAGGATTTGGGATATATGTTATGCTCCTGCAACCATGGTTTCAATCCATATATATCCGTGGATTCGTTTGGTTGTAGACACTATCAAGAAAAAGCCGAGAGATTTTGCTATCTCCTTTGCTGCTTCCCGAGCTTTGTCCTTAATATCATAAAAACCTGCACTCATGAAGAATTGGGTGTCATCAACTTTGTCACCTTCGTCATCTCGAGAACCACCCTACATAAAACATACAAAATTTTTCAAACCAATCCACCATTAGTCAATACAATTTATTTATTTATTATAAACTTTATTTAAATAAGTACTTACCGTATTACTCATACCAAACTCCTTATTATATCAACGGTGTTGTCAATTGTGTAGCAAACTTCAACAAAGTTGTCTCCCTAATAAAGAATAATATTAGTACAAATTAGAGATAATTTAATCCATAAATTATATAAATTATGTCCGGATGTGACGCTATAAAATCTATATGCAGATTATCAACTGAGTAATAAAAGTAAGTAATACTATCGTCCCACAAGGATCGATACAACTTCATATTTAATGATTATATCAAGGAATTGAAAGAACAAAAGTGTTTTTGTAGTAAACTAAAGACAATGTAATAACTAAACGAGAAAACAAGTAGGAAGTTAACTTGGAGAAAAATCAACAGAGAGAAGCTCTCGGAAAGAAGGTCTGAAATTCACTACCTAATTACCTTATTCAATTCGTTTAAATCATAGAAATTCGATAGCCACATCCTACAGTCTTCCCCCATAAATTAAGATTTAGTTCATAATCATGGAAAATAAACTAACAAATAATTCTATGTTCAACATCTTAAAATTCAAGAAATAGAGAAAAATTACGAATGAAGTAGCCCGTTTACTAGCCTTAACTCCTGTTGATTACCTGGAAATTAATCCAAAACCTCAGTCCACGAAAGAAGAGTTTTATACGCCAAAAACTCTCTTCTTCTCCAACTTCTCTGGCGGCTGGAGTTATGTCCCAATAATTCCCCAGTTATGTCCCATGAAAAGCAACCTTTATTTATAATTGTGATCTAATGCTTCCGTGTCCCAACTGAAAAGGAATCTGTCGGCCGAATGTTCCGCTGGCCGCTGCAGTTATTATTGTTTTTTATTTATTTCCGGTTATAATTTGTTTTGAGGTAAGTTTTAAATTAAATTAAGGGCATTATAGTAAAATTAATTTAATTAGGGCGACAAATAAGAATTTTTAGGGCGACGAATAGCAATCCCTTTAAAAAAGGGTAAATTGCAAGTTTGGTTACTTAAAAAGTTCACGTTTGCCACTAAAATTAATTTATTTCATTTGTAGTCACTTAGATTGGTATAACAATTCAAGTTTGGTCACTCTCCGTTAACTTTATCTGACGTGGCAGTCAACTCTAATTAGGGCGACAAATAAGAATTTTTAGGGCGACAAATAGAAATCCCTTTAAAAAAGGGTAAATTGCAAGTTTGATTACTTAAAAAGTTCACGTTTGCCACTAAAATTAATTAATTTCATTTGTAGTCACTTAGATTGGTATAACAATTCAAGTTTGATCACTCTCCGTTAACTTTATCTGACGTGGCAGTCAACTCTATGAGTTGACCGTTAAATAAGTGACGTGGCAATTAAAAAATTAAATTTAATATTTTAAAGATTCCACCTCATTATCACAATAAAAAATGCAATAAAAAATGCAAAATTGGAAAAACAAAATCCATTCCCCGACTCTGCCGATGTACCTTGATAATAACTAAAAAAATGAAAAATCGATGCTTCTATGATGAGATGAACATCTCGGTCTCGAATGGAGCCCGTAAGTGCTCATAGCAGTAAAGCTCTGAGGGATCGTCCCGTCGGGCAGAGTAAACAAGCTTGACATTTATATTCAGGAATTGAATTACACGGGGAGAAAGATTTAAAATTACATGACAAAGATCAGACTGTCGCTGATAGACGGAGCAGACAGCAGAGGCATGATACTCCGCCGCGGGATGCAGGGAATGGAAGGAGGGAGCGATTCTTTTTGGGAGTTATCCTAGAGGCGGTTTTCTACCGAAGAAGTGGGAGCGGTTCTTTGTAGCAGTTATCCAACAAGCGGTTTTCTATGGCGGTTACCTCCTCGTGGCTATAAATAGGAAGAGGGGTCGACAGAGACAAAGGTTCCAAAACCAACACTCTGACACACATGTCAAGTTTATCCTTTACCTTTTCTCTATCATGTAGCCATAGATGTAGTTCGTAGTTTGGAGCTCTCGCCGAACCTCCATAGGAGTAGAAGTAATTTAATTTAGATCTCGTTCCCAGAAACCATCAATCAAACACCCTCGTTCAAACTTTGTTTGAAGAGGTGTGAGCCGTGTCTTAGTAATCGTTGTCCAAAGAAGTCAAAGGTGCATTAATCTCATTTCAAAGCAAGTTTTCTCGCCGGAAAACATTTACCAAAGCGTTTTTTTTTGCCATTCAACCGATCTCAAACGAGATGGAGATAAGATCCACACACCGTCAATTACAAACTACGTAACCAAGACACATAGTCGAACCTCGACAGGACCCGAGGCGACAAACTCAGGGACTTTTTGGCCACTAAATGAGCCTCCCTGTTCCTATGACGACCTACGAAACGTAGATCAATATACCCCCCAAAACCAGCCAACAAGGCTTTGATCTCACGCAAAATTGCGCCAACCTTAGAATCATTGAAATCCCCTGCCAAACATTTATCCAGGATAACCTTCGCGTCGCCCGTAATAAGAAGCGATGTGAGCTCTCTTGTGTTGCATTCCTTGAGACAATCCCAAAGAGCTAGGGTCTCCAAAACATGAGCATCTTTGATCCCTGCATAAATGGTTGCCGCAGCTGCAATTGGAAACACAATCCGTGCATTAGACGAACCGTCCCCAATCACATACGCTGCCATAAAAAGCGTTTATTTTTGCAAATCCATAAAGCAGACCACCCGCAAAATAAGGAGGTAGCAGACCCAGTCCGGATTTACAAGTTATCAAGCCCACTCATTGGGCCCTTTGAGCTTTTAGTGCATTAAACCCTTTTATTCCCTTGAACTCTCATATACCGATTTATAAAAAGGAATCTGTCCCCAACTTTCTCCACACGTCTCCCCAGTTACACCGACCACCAACAACTGATTTTCAAACGGCGAACGTGAATGAAACTGCCTACGTGGACCACAACGTGTAAGCACCCAGCATCTTTGCTGCTAATCACCAACCAATAGGAATCGAGAGTTCACATACTGTGATCCGTGTCACCTCATAGTATGCAATCGCAGCCGTCCACTAAACGCAAGAAAACACAAATCAGTATCCTGCAAACCGTTGGATGATTTACCGAACTAGCACACGGATAGTCTATCACATCCGTCGATCCTTGACGACCGCACATTATAAATAGGCCTCGATGGCGTTTCGTCTCAGAACTTTTACGTGCTCTTTAGAGAGAGAGAGAGACAGAGCAGAGAAGAGGAGCGAGAAGGAGAAGAAGATTAGCGAGAAGGAGGAAGGTCAAAGAGGTATGGGGGATCTTTTCCTTGTTTCTTCCGTTTTTATGCGTCAGATTCTTGCTTCGTTGCTTTCGATTCAGTCCGTCTCTTTGTTTCTTCTTCATCTGGATTTCTCCCATTTCCCTTGATTGCACTGCCAGCTGGGTAGTAAATTAGGGTTTTTTTTTTGTCATTTAGGTTTGATTAAGTCGTTTAGCGTTGATTATCGTCGAGGAAATGTATTTTTCTTCGCTTCCAGAATGAATTCCGCTGCAATTGGATACTGTTTAGGTTTGGGGGGTTAGGGACGCATTAATTTCTGTCTATGAGATCTAAAGAGTGGTCTTTAGTTTGGCTCCATGTCTAGTTTCTGAGTCGAATAAGTTCATCTTCCTCCCAATCTGGGGCGATCAGTAGAATTCGAATTGGTTAATTGTGAACTTGTGATATAGATTTCCTGCCAGAGGTTTGTGGTTGGTGCTAAGTGTTGTGTTCTTCTGCCGCAGATGGCTCGTACCAAGCAAACTGCCCGCAAGTCCACTGGAGGAAAAGCTCCCAGGAAGCAGCTCGCTACCAAGGTTTTTAGTCCTTTCCTTACCCCTTCAACTCCCATTTGTTCAATTTCTTCGCCTATCTGATGTGCATGTGGAATCTAAAGGGGGGTTTTTTCTCTGTTCTTTGATAGGCTGCCCGTAAGTCTGCCCCTACCACTGGTGGTGTGAAGAAGCCCCATCGTTACAGACCTGGAACTGTTGCTCTTCGGTGAGTTTGAATTGTGCTAAATACAAATTAGTCTGCTTTCAACTAAACCATAATAACCATTCTGATAGATAGTTTGTTATACGGCATGCAGTGAAATCCGTAAGTACCAGAAGAGCACTGAGCTTCTGATCAGGAAGCTGCCATTCCAGAGGCTTGTTCGTGAAATTGCACAGGACTTTAAGGTATCTAGTATGCTCAGAATTCAATGAGGTTCTTGTTGTCTTGGTATTTGCTGCGACTGTACTAATCCTTTAATATCCACTATGTTGTTTTTTGCAGACTGACCTGCGTTTCCAGAGCCATGCCGTTCTCGCTCTGCAGGAGGCAGCTGAAGCTTACCTTGTTGGGCTGTTTGAGGACACCAATCTGTGCGCAATCCATGCCAAGCGTGTAACCATCATGCCCAAGGATATCCAGCTGGCCAGGAGGATCAGGGGCGAGCGTGCTTAAGGAAGAATTAGAATGTGATCTGGTTGACATCTTCTGGAGTGGGAAGATGGTTTAATGGAATGGTGTAATTTGTTTGGTTGCTTAATGGGTGTAGTAATTGACTGTTGTTTTCCAATCTGTCATGATGGGATTTAGGGTAGATAGAAATAGTGTTCCTGCTTTGTGGTAGTTAGACCTTGTTGGATGATGGCTTCTGCTAAGTGATATGTCTGTAATGGTGGTGTCCTATGATATTTTGTTGGAGATTCTTGAGCATTGCCTATGATATATATAGTTTGTTAGACCCTTGTGATTCTTATATCAATTTCCGCGTTCGGATGAATTGAATGCCAAATAATTCGATATTTCGGAGTTTGCTTCCTTAGAATGAATTGCGTAATAGACCTAGAAAGCGTATCTAACCATTAACCCCTTTGAATAAGTTTGCACCGAAGTGCTAATACAGGGGCCATTTTAGGTCAATTATATTTGGGTTGGAGGCTTGGAGCCTGTAATTTCTGTTCAGATTTTTTGGTCGAGGTAATAAAATAAAGAAAGACCCTCAATAACCTTTAAATTTGTATCTCCTGGTTGCAACTTGCAACCGTTGGTTAACTTGCATCTATTTTAGGACGAATGACATGACCAAACATCCGCGGACACAATCCACTCCAGGTTCCAACTTGCAAGAACTATACATGGAGCCCCCAAAACAAAAACAAATCCCTCCACCCCTCAACTTCGCAGGAGGGGTTTTGAAACAACAAACCTGACCAATTGCATGGCTTTACCCTCAACAACAAGTCTTTGTTTCTTGTTTCTTCCCATCCTTTCCTTTTTCAACTTTTCTAATTTTAGAACCGTTCATTCATTCACACTGCCAAGAATTATTCAAACAACATCGTCTTTCAATTCATCCACCCTTTTCCTTCCTCTCCTTATTGGTTTCTCTTTCCACCTTGCTCAATTTTTTCATGATATCAGCAAAATTATAGACAGAGCCGAAACTGATGATAGCCGAAAGCACTTGACCTGCGTGATCACCATCTCCAGATGTAAGCACTTCGGAGCGTGCTCTCTCGTTGAATCAAATTCAACACAACACAACCCAACTTGTCTGGATCTAAATTCCATCTGCCACACAAAAGTTTTCTCCCATCCACCACCCATTCCCAAATCCATTTGAGATACTGCTGAATCCTGACAGGGGAAGGATTTGGATTCCAATTTTCATAGTAAAATATTTCTGCCATTTGATTTCTTTCCCCATCAGGATAGGGCGGAAAAAGGGTAAAAATCTTGAATTTCCACAGAGCTGTGATCAATTGAATTAAAGAAGAAGGATGCAGGAGAAATTGGTGAAACCTGAGGAGATGGTGAAGGAGGAAGGCATGGAGGATCTACGAAACAGACTTTCCGAAGTGGAAGCCGAGAGAGACAGGCTACGAGACGAGCTTCAGGTCATGAAAATGGTGGCCGAACACGCCAACAACCGCCTCACCGAATCCATGACCACCGGCAGGGTCGCCGACGTGTTCTCCGAGCTGAATCACGCCGTCGAGGCACTCACCATCTCCAGCGAGGACCTCAAGATCAAGGAGAAGATGATCCAATCGCTGACCGCGGAGGTCGTCAATTCCAAAGAGTCTCAGGCCAAACTGGTCGACGATTTGGGGAAGGCCAAATCGACGGAGGTCGAGAGCCTGGACAAGTTATCCAAGATCAGCAGAAGAGCCGCCGAATTGGAATCCGAATTGGAGAAATTGAAGCAATCCGAGAGCAAAATGATCGAGTCGCTGATGGAGCAGACGAAGCAGTTCGAGAAGGTGAAGATCGAGCTCGAGGAATCGAAGCTGGAAGCCGAGAATCTCCGCGAGAGGCTGGATCGATTGGAAGCCAAGGAAGAGAGCGAGAGCCACCACATCGATTACGGGATATCCAGATCGCCGTCGGAGGAGCAATTGAGCGATCTGAAGGTGGAGCTTCAGGCGGCGAAGGAGAGCCTGGCTCGGGCACACAAGGCGGAGACCGCGGCAGCGATGAAGAGCTACGGTTTAGTCGAGGAAAACGAGTCGCTGAAAATTCAGCTGAGGAAGGCGACGGAGGCAGAGGAGAACAGCAAGATCGCGTTGGATGATTTAGCTATGGCGCTGAAGGAAGTTATCATGGAGTCGAAAGCGGCGAGGGAGAAGCTGATCGGGACGCAAGGCGAGCTGGAGCATTACCGGAGGGAGGCGGAGGACTCGCGGGAGCGGGTGAGGAGCGCGGAGGAGCGGCAGAGGGCGAGGATCGAGGAGGCGAGGAGGGAGGCGGAGCAGTACCGGAACGCGGCGGAGAGGCTGCGGCTGGACGCGGAGGAATCGGTGAGCGCGTGGAGTGTGAAGGAGAAAGGGTTTGTGGAGTGCATACGGAAGGCGGAGGCGGAGAGGGACGCGGCGGTGAAGGAGAATCGGCGATTGGAGGAACTGATTGCGGAGGAAGTGAATGCAGGGAAGGCAACCAAACAGGAGGCGCAGAATCTGAGGGATATAATGAAGCAGGCGCTGAACGAGGCCACGGCGGCGAAGGAATCTGCCGCAATCGCTCAATCGGAGAATTCTCAATTGAAAGACGCGTTGAACGAGAAGGACGATGCGTTGGTCTTCATTACCAAGGAGAACGAGAGCCTTAGGGCGAATGAGGCGGCGGCGCAGGAGAAGATCAAAGAATTGAAGCAGAAATTGGCCGAATCGGCAGCCGGGAAAACGGGGAAAGAGGGGAAAGCAGAAGAAAAGGATCATAAAGAGAAGGAAGGGGGAGGGGATCATCATCAGAAAAATCAGAAGTCTCACGGCGGCGGCGGAGGAGGAGGAGGGGGAAGTGAATCGGCGACGACGACGTCAGCGGCGCCACCGAAAGAGCACGCGAGGAAGCTGAGCAGCGCCTTCAGTTTCAACCTGAGGGAACTGATAATTCCGAGCAAGGCGGCGAAAGAGGCGGCGGAGGAGCAGGAAAAGAAGGATCATCACGAGAACGAGGAGTTCGAGGACGCGGAGGATTTCGATCCGTTGAAGGGATCGATCTTCGACGTAGTGGAATCGCCGCCGGCACCGCAACCGGCGGCGCCGAAGCATCAGAGGAAGAAATCTTTCACGTTCTCGGAGCCGGAGCACGAGGCGGCGGCACCGGCGGATGAGTTCGAGCATCTGGAAGGGGACGATCTGGACGGCGACAAGAACAATCCGAGGAAGAAGAGGGCATTGCTGAGGAGATTCGGGGAGATGATAACGAGGAGGAGAGGGTATCACCGGAAGGAACCGTCGATGGGCGGTGGGGGAGAAGGGCATAAGAGGGAACCGTCGTTGGGCGGCGGCGGATTGGATGGGTTGAAGAAAGAGCTGTCGCTGGGCAGTGAAGGTCAGAAGAAGGAGACACCCGGCGGCGGGGAAGGTCACAAGAGGGAAATGTCGCCGGCATTGGAGGATTTTTGAACACGTATGTATGGTCTTTTTTCTGAAAGAAAGACTCTATTCGTTGTAGATTTGATCGTGTTTCTTTTTTTTTTCCGTTTTCCTTTTCCGTTATCATTATGTCACATATATACACATACAAATTCAAGTTCAACATACATGGTGGCTCTAAATTAACCTGTAGTTTTTTTTATTATATGTAAACGAGCTTTATAACCTCAAGATTTGTGTGCAACTTATGGCTTCAGCATGTGTACAAATTACCATATAACTTTTTTTTTTTGTTAATTTGTTTTTCTCTGTTTATTATACTTTGTTTTAAATATATGATGATGTTGACGATTTTCACCCTGTATAGTTACGATGATAATTTGTGGATTCTAATTCTCAATAAATCATTATGTTTCTGAAAATATAGGACATATGTCTTTCATTGCTTAATTATATATTTTTTTTTATGTTTCTTCATCGATGTTTTTCATGAAAGAATAGTGGTTCTAAAAACAGAATAATAGTGGTTCGACTGATTTATATTGCTAATATGAAACTAGTTGGGAGTAATTAAGTATTACAATGTTATGTTGTCCGCTTCCCCATCGTGCAATTTAGGTTCTGATCCAATCCATTTCCCATGAACGAAGCAAGCTAGAACAAATCTTATAGCTAGAAAAAAAGACAGAAAACACAGTTGGGTAGAGTTTACCATGTGAATTAATTTATTGATAACTGCTGAAACATAGAAGCCTGGAAGACCTGCCAAAGAAAGCAGCCACGTGTTTGCCGCGTTGTCAAGCCGCAATTTGCATAGAACAACGCCACTCAGCGGTGGCCCAAAATCCCAAGTTGCTATTCGCTGAAGTTGACACGCGTACAGCTGGGCCAGTAGGCGGCAGCAGCAGGCCCAGCCCAGTAAGAATCAGATGCCTTCCACTATTTTGGTTACGCTGAATTTTGCTATATAAGTTTGGTAACGGTACGGGGCTTAGCTTTACTCTTTGCCAGTTCCCACTTCCACAATTATCCGCTTCGTTTCCCCCAGAAACTTCTTCTCATTATGTCGTCCGTCGTGGAGCTGAATAATGCCGCCGTAGGTTCGGGTTCTTCTCCTGAAGAGAATTCCACCGGCGCCGGCGAACAGGTGATGGCCGACCTCCCTTCCCATGCTTTTCTCGCTGCTGCCCTCTCTCTCAAGGACCAGGTGGTGGAGGCCACGTGGAGATCAGGGGACGGTGCGGGTCCGGGTGCCGACCCGACCCTGTTTACCGGGTTGCTGGGCACAGCTTTCACCTGTTTGCGTTCCTACGAGGTCACCGACAACCCGCTGGACCTGGCGCTCTGCTCCGACATCGTCGACGCGTGTGCCGCCGCCGCTGCTCCGTCCAGGTAATTAGTTAATTAATTATGATGCTTCTCTCTAAACATTTTCCAACGGCACCTTTAATTAAAGTTTTACTACCAGGTAAACCAAACCATTATCTCCTTCAATTGGAGGAATAATAGGAACTCGTTTAGGGTTCCACTCGATTCATTATATTACGATGATGCTACCACCAAAGTCCAAAAGTAGAAATATTTCTGGTACGGCATCTTCCATTGGGAGGAACTATATTCCTCTACTTGGTGGTGGGTGGTGGATGTTAGTCCGCTAAAAAGAAAAAGAAAAAGACTTTATGTCACAGTCCCGTGACAAAGGCGGGAATGACATAGATATATTCCTATGTTAAAATTATTAGACCCTTGTTCTTGAAATATTTGATTCCAAAGTTTTTACGCAGTAAATTTGATAAATGAAGCTGCACAAATTTGGCTGGTTGATAGACCTGCGTTATAAAAAAAAAAAAAAATTGACATGTGGGAGTACAGGAGCTCTACTAATATATAAATATTAATGGTTGTATCATAAAAGTTTTTGCACGTACGAGGAGATATATAGGTACAAATCAAATTTGTAGTATAATCTTAAAGATACAAGTTCAGTCTATATGACACCAATACACAAGTATGGTAAAATCACTCGTGAATATAGATGGATTTTTGTCTATCATTCTGTGACAAGGAAACCATAATCTACTACTGCAAATTTTGACGTGTGTTTATTTCACAAGTGTGTGTAAAGCCTGATCAAAATAACTTGCCTACTGGAAGGAACTAATCTCATTTTGGTAATAGTCTTGTTTTTAACATAATTAATATTAGACTTGTTGGGAATCGTTACATTCCTCTATGTAAATCAATAATTCTGGTAGAAAAGCACGAGTAGTGGAGCCAGTGGCATCATCACAATCACATAGCCAGGATTCCCCCAAAGGCAAGATATTTTTGAAGCCCTGGCTGAAAACTGACCAGTCAGTTAGTACTTGACTTACTTTCAGGCACGTGACATTTTTATGCGGTAGAGGAGGGATATACGCCATAGGAGCAGTTGCTGCCAATTACAAAGGGGACCATCAACGACGCGACTTCTTCTTGCACATGTTCCTCCAGGTACTACAGTAACAACATGCAATTATTTCTGTCCCAATCCCAAAAGAAACCGACGTGTCAATTTTTACAAATCTCGCGACGTTGGTTGCAGATGGCCCAAGAGCCCGCGCTCCCTATTGGGCCGGAGGAAGGCGGGTTCGGGATGTCCTACGAGTTGATGTACGGGCGGGCCGGGTTCCTGTGGGCCGCTCTCTTCATAAACAAGCACCTTGGCGCAGGAACCGTCGATGACGATGTTGTGGTGGCCGTGGTGGATGCGGTGCTGGCTGGTGGCAGGGCCGGGGCGTCCGACAACCCGGCCTGCCCGCTCATGTACCGGTGGCACGGGACCAGGTACTGGGGCGCGGCCAACGGCCTCGCCGGAATCCTCCACGTCTTGCTTCACTTCCCGCTGTCTCCGCAAGACGCGGAGGACGTGAAGGCTACATTGAGGTACATGATGAGCAACAGGTTCCCTCACAGCGGGAACTACCCTTCGAGCGAAGGGAACCCTAGGGATAACTTTGTCCGGTGGTCACATGGCGCGACGGGCATGGCCATCACCTTGTGCAAAGCATCACAGGTATGTTTGTTGTTGTGGTCGATCGGCCTAGTTACGTTAACGATCGAATCGAATTGGATTATGTGCATGCATGACTTGGATGTGATCTGTGTTGTTCTAGGTGTTTCCGGATGAGAGGGAATTCAGGGACGCGGCGATAGAAGCAGGGGAAGTTGTGTGGAGGAGTGGGCTGGTGAACAAGGTTGGACTGGCCGATGGGGTGGCTGGAAATGCGTATGCTTTCCTTTCGCTTTACCGGCTCACCGGGGAGAGGGTTTACGAGGAACGAGCCAAGGCGTTTTCGGGCTACTTGTATCATAACACCGGGAGCGAGGTGACGAGTGTAGTAGGCTCTGGTAAGGTTAGCGACATTGGGCATGGTGGGTGGTCTCTGTTCCAGGGTCTTGCGGGGATTGCTTGCTTGTGGTTTGATGTCGTTGCGCCGGAGAAGGCTCGTTTCCCTGGCTTTGAAGTTTGAACTGCAAGGGAAGAGCTAGTGTCTGCTTAATTGGCGTCTGGCGAGGTTGGAAGGGTACTCTAAAGCTGAGAAATGCACCTACTTAATTAAAAAGCATACTTGTTGTATATGTATGTAGAAATTCCCAACTACGTTGTTCTTCTAGAATGAAGATAGACCTGTGTACAACGTGTGTTGTGACAAATAAATTTATCATATACTTGTAGAGACAAGCAACAACACAAAGTTTACATCTCGTTCTCTTCTGCTAGGGCATTCGTTTTGTTTTGCATTTTTGCCTTTTTCATTTTTGGACAGCCTGTTCTGCCTTTCTCGCTGCCTTCGATATTGCCATATTGGGGAGGTTTGGTCCTCCTCTATCTGTTTTGTTCTATATGCCTTATTTCGTTTGTAGTTTTGTTTTTCTTTCTTTGAGATAAATTCTTTTGATCTCTTTCTCTTTTCATTTTTTACTTTCTCTTGTATTGGGACTCCTCTGTTTGCTTTTATTTTTAATATAGTGATTCGGGATTAAATGTACACTTTTTATCTTCGTTTTTCTTTGGCGTTTGTGGCATTTGAGCTCCATAAAGGGTGGTTTTACGCTAGGTTTGATATATTTCAATGTGTTTCAGAGTCTAATAGGTGGAACCAACCCCGGAGTCGAAAGTTGGAAGAAATGACGCGAGGACCGGGCAAAGAGGAGGAAACAACAGATGTTCACGATCCAAGCTATGAGTTCACGGTCGCCAGAACCGTGAACTGGAGCCACGAACCGGAGTCGAAAGTCAGAAGTTACTAACGCCTAGTTAGTTCAAGGTCGTAAGACCGCGAACTCAACAAATGAAAGCAGTGCGTTTTGGCTGTGTTCACGGTCCGCGCCAGATGTTCACGGTCGTGAACTGGGCACGATCAGGCTGTATAAGGAGAGTTGAAAGGAAGAAGAAGGGGGAGCCCAAAGTGAGAGAAATATTCTTCTTCTTGAACCCCTAGAGAGAGAAAGTCACGAACCAAGAGGGAGAAGAGGCTAGGATTTGCTCCAATTCAAGAATTGGGAAATTCATCTTCAAGGGAGGATCTCTACAAGCACAAGGAAGGATTGAGGCATCATCAATGATGGTTTTTTCTTTTTTCCTTTGTTTTCTTCCTTCTTCTAGCATGGAGTAGTCTCTTATTCACTTGGGTGTTGTAGAACCCTAACTTCTACCATGTAGTTGATTGTGTGTGGGTGATGTTTAATTTTAGATTTGAGGTATTGTTCATGGTGATTGTGCATTTTGTATGCTTGGCAATCTATTATGCTACTCTAACCTAGCATAGAGAGAAACCACCTTATTTTAAGAGGCTCAAATTGGGCTGGGTCTTCTTAGGCAACCATTTTGATGAGACTCTTGCCAACTAGGGACCAAAACTTTTGGTAAAAAATGGACTGGTATTCATTAGAACCAGGGGCTATCAGAGGCTTCATGTCGAAAAGGGATTTGTGGGCGTCGTTGATGGTGAAGGGGCGAAGAATTGTCATCAAGCCTTGTTGAAGAAGTCTCAGAAAACTGTTTATGGATCGTATTTGTTTTTTTTTCGTTATAAGGGTGATGTAGGCTTTTTTTGTGATTAAAGTACTACTTAAGAGATTCGAACGTGGGTCCTCTAGGTTTAAGTTTAGTTGAGTGGATCTAGGTAGGCTCTTGGGGGACCCTCCAAGAATTTTGAAAGTGACGTGTAAAATCCCCGAGCATCTTGGATTTTCGTATAAATTAAGATAAAATTAAGAAATTAAATGTGCTCGAGTGCACCAATGTGACAGAAAATGTGTTATAGTCCAGCGGATGTGAAGCCTTCTTGCTTCTCCTAAGTTAGGGGTTTGAAACCCTGTGTTTGGTTATTTTAATTGAATCCCTTTTAAAGATGTCTGTATTTGTCATATTAAACGGTTTTCTTTTCAAAATGCATGAACAATTTCATTGTTTAAAAGTTGTGCTTTATATTTTTTTATCAAATAATTTAATTATAAATTATATTAATATAATGATACTTTTGGAAAGTTAATGAATAAATAGTTTTTCAAATACTAATATTAGTAGGTAGTTATTTTTCAATTCTGAAAATAGAATGAGTTGCACAATATTGAAGACACTATTAATTTGTTTCTTTCTTTTCCAAATCTTATACTAAACATGCCATGATATTAGTGTAAATCTTATGTTGATTGAAAATGAAACGTGTTATACTACATCAAAATACATTTTAATTGGTTTTTTCTTAATATATATTGAAGCTATAATCATTTTAAAATTTGTGCTTTAGATTTTATTTTGAGTTACTTTACTCATCTTTAAAAAGTGTCGTTATAATAATTTTTTTTTAATTTAACGGCTTTTCACGGTTATAGAGTAAGAAATCCAACCCTCCAGACCGCCAAATCCCGACTCCGCCTCTACTAGTGGTATTACCACTATACCAATCTCGTTCGTTCATGGACGTCGTATTTGAACAGTGAGGTTCATCCCGCATGTAAAGAGAAGTAAAAAACTGAACAATAAAATGGGAATTAACAAAGTGATTGATAGAGCCCAGGAATTTGGTTCTATCTAGGGATATGGATTATAAGGGGATCAATTAGGGATTGAAGGATGGGAATTTGTTGGGACGAGAAGAAGTAGAGGGAAAGGGGAGGGATTGATTTGGGACAAGGAAAAGAAGAAGGGAAGGGGAAAAGGGGCTGTTGTGCAGCCGAGTGTAGAGAGGGAAAAGAGAGGAAGGGAATTGAATATTAGGTTTTAGGTTTAATCTTGTTTAGTGGTCTAATCCCACGTACAAGTAGTTTATATAAAAATGACTAATTCCCTACTGCTACTCGATTTATCAATTATTCCCCAATTCCCGAATAGTCCAAATAATCCGAATAATAATAAAACGACAATAATGCAAAGTACTAAAGTGCAAGTTCTCATCATCCCCGCTTTCTTCGAAAAGCAACCTTGTCCCTAAGGTTGTTCCTCCAGCTCATTGGTTCTCCTCTTCGCCATTCCCGACGTCCTCAGCGACATCCTCGGCTTCGTCTTCCCAGCGTCCGATGAGCATCATCAGGTCCGGCTTCGGGGACTGATGGCCAATGGTAAACCGGCCATCACAGTTGAAGCACTTGCCCTCCCGCCTCTTTTGTTCTACCTCGGCCGGAGAGAGTCGCACGAACCCTTTTGGTATGGCCTACGGCCCCACTCTGGCCATTGGTGCCGCATTCCCACTCCCGGTATTAGCACCGGAGGCATTTCACGCCGCGGATCCTCCCCCGCTGCCACCGGCTCCACTGCTTCCGCCCCCTCCAGTTGGCCTCGGGTAACGGCTTAGCTTACCGATTCGTAGAGCGGGAGCGAGAGCGTCAATTCCTTAAGAACTTAATATAGAGAGCGCATAGAAAGCGTTATATTATATTATATTATTTTAATATATATTTAAAAAAAATTAATTATAATAATCCAGAAGAAAATCATTCCTTATTAAAAAAGATATTCTATTTTGGCAAGGACGCACTTTTTTTGCCGTGATTTACTGCAATTTATTAGTTTACTTTCAAGTTTTAACCATATTATTTTCTATTTTTTTTCAACATAAAAACTAGCAAAGTAAAAGTAATTCGACAGCCACAAAAATTCTGTAGCCTTATCTCTCCACTCCATCTCCTCCGTGGAAACTCTTCTAGGCCCCAACCTTGCTCCAACGGATCTCATCACCATCACTAGAAGTCTGTCAATACTTCGAGATCGTTGGCAAGGAGCTACCATTTATGAATGCAGACTAGCCAAATCTTCCAGGAGACTATTATCCCAAGACTAGTGCCGCCGCTGCCATTAGCCACCAAAACATATCCTCCCCATCTCGATCCAAAACCCTCCAATCTACATCAACACTAATTATCGGCCGACAACTAGTGTTTCAGCATCAAGTTGCCGTACCCAACTCCAATAAAAAACCAGTCAACGTCGACGGTGGGCAAACCCCACCTGGGTACCCATGGGTCTGGCGCTCAAGGAGAAAGGAAGAGCATCATCTATTCTGCTTGAACAGTCATCCATCCGAGAAAATCGCGAACTTAAAAACAAAATCCGCGCTCTGTAGGAATAAAATTCGCGTTTTTTTGGCGTTTGCTTTAAAATCCGCGTTTCACCGCTCCGGAGCGGGAGCTTGGATGTGGAGATGGCGAATCATGTGACCTAAGTAACGGCCAATGGTGCTCCTCCATCTGGCAAGTTCTTCCTCTTTGTGACCTGCAAGATGAAAAACAGCCTTCAGAGAATCCAGCTCGAATACTCTAACTGCCGATGCTATCTCGGGCTTGAGGCTCGCCATGCACAACCCAACCAGTGTGTCCTCTAGCACTCCCCTGCACTGGTTACCCAGGTTGAAGAACTCAGCGCGATAATCGGCCACCGTGCCGGTCTGTTTCAGCTTCGCGAGCTGCTCTGGTGCCCACCCTTCTGATTTTCCGAACTTCTATCGGAGCTCCTCCTGAAACATGGGCCAGGCTATCATGGTCTCCACCGCTAAGTAGGATCTCTCCATCCACTCCCACCACTGCAGTGCGTCACCCTCCAAGTAGAAGGATGCCAGGTAAGCTTTCCTCTCCTCTGGGTTCGGGTGGTTTTTAAACCACCGTTCAACTGCATACAACCAGAGACCTGCGTCCTCTTGCCCATTGAATTTTGGAAACTCAATGGTAGGAGATTTAGCTCGGAAAACTATGCCATTAGTTCCCTCATAAGTATGGTAATACGAACCATACCTATCCTCACCCGGTGTCCTCCATGGCTGCCCGTGCGAGAATCTCTGCCCTCGGTTTGGGTTCCCAGGTCCGTAGTACCCCTGATAGGCGCCCTGTTGGTCCAGGTACCCACCAGGAAGTTCGGGCGCTCCATACAGCCCTTTCCAGCATGCGGACCCCTTGCTGTCGCTCTTCCCGGTGGCTGGTGAGTTGGGTTTGGTCGATGCCCTGTTCGACCCACCTCGGACCGACACGAACTGGTCCATCCGAGCTCGGTTCGACCCACTCTGACCCGACCAAATTCGGTTCGCCCGCCCTTGAGTCGACTCATCATGGTCCACCCAGTCCCGGTATGCCCGACAGGAGCGGACCCCATCCGACCGGCCGGGTCAGCCACCCTGCCCGGTCCACCACTCCTCTGGTCCACGACTGGGTCGGCCCGTCGGTCCGCCAAGCTGAGCCCGTCATCTTCGGCCTCATCATCTAGGCCCTGCCATCCAAGCCCATTGTCATCTCTCACAAATCTCCCCACCATTTCTGGCCCATCAGTCGTCAGAGGCGCCGCCCCCTGCCAACGAAGACCTCGCGGCCAGCGGCGCCCCTGCGCCTTCGCCGTCCGTCGGCGGGGCGGCTCCGCCTGGCTCGGGGTTGCCCCTGTCGCTGCATCACGAACTCTCTCAGTTCGCCTATAGCCCGCCAAATCTCCTGGGAGTCCGCCTGATGAGCTTCCTGATCCCGAGTATGGGTGATCAACACCTTCTTCAAGAGAGTGCGAAGGTCCTCCTCCTCCGTCATGTCCTCCACCACGCCCTCCTAGCGTCTTTTGCTGGCCGCCGGCGGTGGGAGTCTCGACTGCGCCGTTTTGGGTGGCGCGGTGGCGGCCTGGGTTGGCTTCGGCGGCACAGTCGCCGCAGTCACCACCTCTTCTCCTTCACCAGCCTGACTCGCAGCTCCTCCCGCGAGCGCCTTCTCCTGCGCGGCTTGTGTAGCCTTCTCAGCAGCCGTCATTGATTTCGTCAGCACCATCCTGTTCGTCTGTCCTTGATCAAGAACGGGGCTCTGATACCAAATGATAGAGCCCGTGAATTTGGGTTCTATCTAGGGATTTGGATTAGAAGGGGATCAATTAGGGATTGATCCTTAGTGTAACAGAAAATGGGGGAAGGATGAGAATTTGGTGGGACGAGAAGAAGCTGAGGGACCTCTTCGGTGACCGTTGTGATGTCGGGTGAGATGAAGCCTCCGGCGGCGGAGGCGGACCATTGCCTCAAGCCGCCCGATGGATCGCCGGCTGGCTCGCCTCTCCAGCCCAGCAAAAAGTCGAAGGCCACATTAGTGAAGACCTCTCTGGCCAGGGGGAGATGGACTTCGCGATTGTCACCGCGAGAGGAACGCCCAGCGATGAGGGAAGAAAAGAAGATCTACAAGCTGATACAGTAGGCCAGAAGCAGACAGAACACCAAAAGGAGGGGGATCGTGCCACGGAGATGGAACAGGGGAAGATGTCGTACAAGGATTCTTTTCAGGGTAACAAGCCGATCCCGCCGATCTCTGATGGAGAGGAGTTCATGTCCGATGAATCGGAAGGAGAAGATGGGGACGATGACCCTGATTGCCCAACGATCAGAATCAAGAAGAGTACCAATGCTAGGGTACAACGTCGCTGGAGCAAGGCCATCACTTTTCGCGTCCTAGGTAAAATTTTCTCCTTTGCTTTTATCCAAAGGCGAGCCCAGAGCATGTGGGCGAAGACTGGAGGTGTCAAGGTAGGCGACATTGGTAACGGGTACTACCAGGCCATCTTTGATTCGCAGAATGATTATAGCAGAGCACTATATGGAGGACCTTGGACGGTGGATGATCATTATATTGCTGCAGAGCCGTGGCGGCTTGACTTTGATCCGGATTTCGACGAGATCAACCGTGCTGCGGTTTGGGTTCGCCTCCCTCGACTCCCCCTTGCTTACTTTGATGAGGAAATTCTGCTCGACATTGGTAACAAGCTTGGCCGAGTAGAGAAGATTGATTACAACACCACCAACGGGTTTCGAGGTAATTATGCACGCCTATGCATTGAGATCGACCTGAGGAAGAGATTGGTTTCCAAGTACCGGTTAAAGAGGCGGGTTCGCCGTGTGGAGTATGAAGGACTCCACACAGTCTGCTTCACCTGTGGGCACTATGGCCACCTGGAGGACTCTTGTCGGTGGAAAGAAAGCAATGAATCCCCAGAGGAAAGAGCTACTGCTACTAACCAGCCGGTTGGGAAGCAAGAAGTCAGACCTGAAGTTGTGGAGGACTTCGGTCCTTGGATGCTGGCCACCAGACCTAAACGAAGGAGGCAGCAGCAAAAAGCTAGGAACACTGGAGGTGAATTGGGGGCCAAGGGAAAAGCTGCGGTGGCCCGGAATTTGGGATCTAGGTTCGATGCATTGATGGAGGAAGAGACTACTGAAAATCAGGATGGCCAAAGCTCTGATGAGGAGGAGAGAATGGTGGACTCTGATGCTATGAACCTAGACACTGACCAACAACAGATTCACAGCAACTGTGATGACAATGCAATGGAGACCAGAAACAACAGCCTTGAAGACAAGTTGGAGCTTAACAACCAAGCAACAAGGGAAGCCCAGGAAAGTAAAGGAAGGAAGGAGAGTCAAGGCAAGAAAGTACAACAGAGTAATCAAATCACGAAGGATAACCAAAAGAGTTCTCCTGTCGCCCACAATATGAAGAAGAGAGACAATGCATCTATCTCAAAGACTGTCCAGGTTTCTCCACCTAAACCTTCTGAGGTGAGGGATCTTATGCACAAGGCCCCTAGCCAAACCCAGTTTCACTCCAAGTCTAAGGGAGTTACTTCACCAGTGTCTATCCTTAAGAATGGATTACAGGGGAAGGATCTGGTCGAGGCTAAGGAGTGTGGAGCTTGCACGGGACATCAACCAAAAATGAAGGTGGAGGGTAGTAGCAAGCATGTCAAGGGGCCGGATAGAATCCAAAATGACCCCATAGACAAGGGGAAGAGTCACCAGAAGAAGAGTGTTCCCCTTCCTAAGAAGGAGGTGAACCAGACTAAGCCCGAAAATGTGATTGCTCCTTGTATTGTTAATACTGGTAGCGATCCGGAAGAGAAAGTGACGGCGATGGCCGTCGATGAGTGCTGACCTCCTTCGAGGTCTGTACAGGGGAGCCCTCTCATCATTTGTCAATGATTAAAGTCCTCGCCTGGAATTGCAGGGGTGCCAGACATCCTAAGTTTTCCTCTACTATTGAGTTTTACAAGAGCTCGTATAGACCTGATGTAGTTTGTGTTCTGGAGCCGAGGATTAGTGGGAATGACGCAATGGGTGTCATCAAATATATCGGGTTTGATTCATGGATTGTCTCTGATGCAGTTGGGTTTAGCGGTGGCATATGGGTACTATGGGATAGCAACTATATGCATCTCGAGGTCCTAGACAAAGAGAAACAATTTGTTCATATGAAGTGGACTAAAGAAGGAAGAGAGGTTGGACTCCTTACGGCGATTTATGCTAGTCCCAACGACTTTGAAAGGGTGACTCTTTGGAACTTCCTTAGAATGACAGAGAAGAATGTTGGTGTCCCCTGGCTCCTTACAGGGGACTTCAACTCAATCACAAGTCCATTGGAGAAGCAAGGAGGGGCACCCTTCAATTTCGCCAGATCGCGACCCTTTACGGAATGTATTGATGATTGCGGGTTTGTGGACCTTGGCTTCTCCGGTCCACGCTTTACCTGGTTCACCAAGTCATCTAGGCTCAAGGAAAGGTTGGATCGCAGTTTGTGTAACCTGGAATGGCGCCAATGGTTCCCTAGCACAACTGTTTTCCATCTACCCAAGCTCAAGTCAGACCATCGTCCAATACTGACTTGTACGTCAAGCCGCCCATCCCAGCATAAAGCGGTGAGACGGTTCCAGTTTCTTGCTCCGTGGCTCGCCCACGATGATTTTCCTAGACTTCTTTCTTCTTCTTGGAACCTGGGCTTTGACTTCCCTTCTTCTTTGCAGGTTCTCTTAGAGAAGCTCGCGGTGTGGAACAAGGAAACCTTTGGCAACATTTTCCGAAGGAAAAGGCATTTGATGAACAAGCTTGAGACACTGGAATTCCGTAATAAGAGATCGGCCAATCCTCACTCTCTGGAGATGGAGAGGCAGACTAGGGAAGAGCTGGAGGATACGCTGTGGCAGGAAGAGGTCCTTTAGATGCAAAAGTCTAGAGTGAACTTTTTTATCTATGGCGATAAGAACTCCCGCTTCTTCCATCAAAGCACACTAAGCAGAAGAAAGAGGAGCATGATCACCAGCCTGAAGGATGGGAATGGGTGCTGGATTTCAGATCCAGACTTACTTCTCTTGATGGCCAGAAGCTTCTATGTGGAGTTGTATACTAAAGATGACAAGGAGAGTCAACCTCACCTTCCTGCCGACTTTCCCATCTTGGCCACCGCCCTTGTGGAAAAACTTGGGACCCCCCCCATCTCTGGAGGAAGTCAGAGAAATCATCATGGACATGAATGGGCTTAAAGCACCAGGAAAAGATGGCTTCCAAGCAATCTTTTTTCAGAAGTGCTGGGACGTCATTGAAAGGGAGTTTTTTCTCTTTATCTCTGATTGCTTTAAAAACCCTAGCAAGATTAGATCCTTGAATCAGACATTACTCGCCCTTATCCCTAAAGTTGATGCTCCTGCTTCTATGAATCATTTTCGGCCCATTAGTCTGTGCAATGTGGGCTATAAGGTGGTGGCTAAGACGATTGCTAACAGGCTTAAGTCTCTGATGCCCCACCTGGTTCATCCTAACCAGTCCAGCTTTGTTTCTAATAGGCACATTACTGACAATATTCTTATCCTGCAGGAAACTGTTCATTCCATGTCAAGGAAAGGAGGGAAGAAGGGTACCATGCTTCTGAAGGTGGATTTGGCGAAAGCCTATGATAGGATTGACTGGGAGTTCCTTGAAGAAACCCTGGTCCTTGCAGGCATCCCCAGGCAGTGTGTTAGCATCATTATGCATTGTGTGACGTCAGTGGAGATGCAGGTTCTTTGGAATGGAGGGGAGACTACTCCTTTCACCCCCTCTAGGGGTATCAGGCAGGGATGTCCCCTCTCCCCTTACCTTTTTACGCTTTGTGTTGAGAGACTAAGTCATACCATTATTAGGAAAGTTAGGGAAAAGTCGTGGAAACCTGTGTTGTTGTCTGTTGGAGGTCCCCCTCTGTCCCACCTCTTCTTTGCTGATGATCTTGTTTTGTTTGCTGAAGCTAGTGTTGAGCAAGCTGATTGCATCCTTTCTTGTCTTAATGATTTTTGTGTTGCCTCGGGAGAACTTGTTAGCAAGGATAAGTCTAGAGTCTTTTTTTCCAAGAACACTAAACTGCATACTAGAACTAACATATGCTCCAGATTAGGCATCCAATGCACTAGTGACCTAGGGAAGTATCTTGGCGTTCCTGTCATTCATGGCAGGCTCACCAAATTTACTTACCGTTACATCTTAGACAGAATTGATAGTAAGCTTACAGCCTGGAAAGCTCGTACCCTCTCTCTGGCGGGTCGGGTTACCTTAGCCAAGGGAGTACTTGAAGCCATTCCGTCTTATGCCATGCAAACAACCATGCTGCCTATTTCGGTGTGTGAGGCCGTTGATAGGAAAATTAGATGGTTTGTGTGGGGTTCACAAGTGGGGAAAAGGAAGGTGCACTTGGTGTCTTGGGACACAATCTGTAAACCTAAGAACCAAGGGGGCCTTGGTTTGAGATCAGCTAGGAGTCTTAACCTCGCTTACATGGTCAAATTGGCTTGGCAGATCATGAACAATGAGAATGAATTGTGGGTACAGGTGATGCAGGGCAAGTATTTTCACCAGAGGGAAGGGACAATAACTGCAATGAAGACCAGTAACCATTCCAATTTGTGGAGAGCTATCCTCAAGGCGATGCCGGTGATGAAGAAAGGAATGATGTGGAGGATAAGAGATGGGCAGGCTACCGGCTTCTGGACTCATACTTGGCTGGATCAAGATACTGTCCTTGAGGACTTTTCGTTAGTGGACCTTTCAGAAGAAGAGAAATACTCAAGCGTGGCTGATTGGGTTACTAGTGATGGTGAGTGGGATTGGGATAGACTTAAAGAGTATTGCAGGGTTGGAGGCCCCTGCCCCAGAGCTTGGAGAGGACAGCACTGTCTGGGGAGCTGAAAAGGATGGCAGGTTCAGGCTTAGATCAGCCTATGACCTCGTGGCTGGTATGACGAATGATGAAACTGGGGAAGCTTGGAGGGACTTATGGCGATGGGATGGACCCAACAGAGTCAAATTGTTCCTCTGGCTTGTGTCTCATAACAGGTTGCTTACCAATGCAGAGAGGAAGAAAAGACAGATCTCACAGAATGGAGGTTGTTACCATTGCACAGATGAGGAGGAGACGGTGGAACACATTCTCAGAATCTGCAAGAAGACGACAGGCTTTTGGAGACATTTTGCCGGCAAAGTTAAAGTGCAGAACAGTGCCATCGATTTTCGTCAATGGATCCATAGGAATACCACTGATGCTGATACAGGAATCGACTTTGGCATCCTTTGCTGGCTCGTTTGGAAACAGAGAAACGAGGAAGTGTTAGATGGGAAGAAGTATTCTGAAGAGGGCCTGATCTGTAAAGCTAAGGCTTGGCTGAATATCCATCAACAAGCTAAAGCAAGCACAAACAAGTGCTTTACTGTGTGTTCCTCAGGACAGGTTGAGAAGGACGTGGGCTGGAAACCACCTAGAAAGGGCTGGGTCCAAGTTCAAGCTGATGGATCAGTGGCTGGAGCTTCAGGATCAGCTGCTGCAGGGGGTGTGATCAGGGACAGTGCCGGTCGTTGCTTGGACGCGTTTGCTTGCAACCTGGGGGTTTGTTCCATAACTGCGGCTGAATTAAAAGGAGCTGCTGTCGGACTTGATAGAGCTTGGAAGCTTGGGTTCAGGAAGATCGAGCTCAACCTCGATTCCTCTACTGCAATTAGCATCATCAGAAACCGGGACGATAGCAACCACTCGCATGGAACGATTGCGGAGAAGATTGAGAGACTTATTATGTGTGATTGGGAGGTTGTTGTTAACCATGTGTATAGAGAAAGGAATTTTGTTGCTGATTTTTTGGCTGCTAAGGGTCATACCCTTCCTTTTGGCACACATCACTTCAATGTGTGTGATCCCAACCTCAAACAATGGTTGTTGTATGACGTCATGGAGATTACCATGACTCGTTCCATTAGTATTATGCACTAGGGCGTTTCTCGCCCGTCTTTCTACCCAAAAAAAAAAAAGAAGCAGAGGGAAAGGGGAGGGATTGATTTGGGACAAGGAAAAGAAGAAAGGAAGGGGAAAAGGGGTTGCCGAGTGTAGAGAGGGAAAAGAGAGTGGGACGGCAGAGAGAGAGGAAAGGAATTGAATATTAGGTTTTAGGTTTAATCTTGCTTAGTGGTCTAAACCCACGTACAAGTTGTTTATATAAAAATGGTTAGTTCCCTACTGCTACTCGATTTATCAATTATTCCCCAATTTCCGAATAGTCCCAATAATCCGAATAATAATAAAACGACAATAATGCAAAGTACTAAAATGCAAGTTCTCATCAGTGATCAATTATTCAATAGTGTTATTGAATAATAATACTATTCTCTAGCGTTATTGAATAATATTAGTATTCACTATATTTTATTTTTGCATCATATCCAGCTCATTTATCATTAGAATTACAACTCATTATATCTATTATCTAATCCAAAATATCTGGTCTTTCCTCCACCACATCTTCCTTAGAGCTTAATCATACCCTTTTCATCAGGAAAATACAAGCTTATACTTGAATTCAACGGGACAGAAACAACACTATAATACAAGATCATCACATTTCCCCCTAAAACATAAATAGGATTCAACCAAACCAAATCAAACCAAACCACACCTTTTTCTTTTTATAATCTGTTTGGCTGTCTTCATCCCCCACTCATAGGTCATTAACTCGTCTGTCTCTGGACCAGAGCTGTGACTTGTGAGGTTGGGTAGAATTAGACCGTTTCTTCCTTCTTTCCTTCGGCTACGGCGCTTCCCGCTTTCGTTTTCCTATTGGGCATTTTTTTGGCTTGGCAGTTTAACGTTGTGACCTCTCCCCTCGTAGAGTCGCAGTCGTTGGCAGCCCGTCATGGAAGGGCATATCTCCCAACCCCACGAATCCTTCAGGCCCACCACCACCACCACCGCCAAACATCATGCCTTCCAATTCGACACCTCCCTTTTTCCTATTCATTCCCACATCAATAATACACAATTATACTTCTAACAATTCCCTTTTCCTTCCCTTCTTTCCCCTTCCTTTCTTCCCCACTTTCCCCCCGATTCGTGGCCATGAAGCAACAACGCCATCGAGATTCTCCTCTCAGCTGCTGAAACCCGGAACCCAGAAGGAGGAAAACCAGCCAGAAGAGAAGAGAAGCTCAAATCGAATCAGAACTCAACAGGGCATAGGCTGCTAATATATTTCTGGGTAATCAGATTCATTGTAACTGAAAACAGAACAAGAGAACGAAAAAAACAGGGGAAAACAGAGTACTCTGGGACTCTGTATTAAAGCTGGGAGGAGGGCGATGGAGAGATATGAGGAAGTGAAAGATATTGGGTCGGGGAATTTCGGATTTGCGAAGCTGGTGAGAGATAAATGGAGTGGGGAGCTTTTTGCTGTCAAGTATATCGAGAGAGGGAGCAAGGTCGGTCCCTTCCACTCCCCCCTGCTTTTTGGAACTCTCCTTCTTTTGCCCCCTCAAGCACTCTGCTTTTTTTTTTCTTTCCCTCTCATTGTTTTTACATATTCTCAGCAGCTCCTTTTTTGGTCTTTGGGGTTTCAGATTGATGAGCATGTGCAGAGGGAGATCATGAACCACCGATCTTTGAAGCATCCCAACATCATCCGATTCAAAGAGGTGAAGAAATATGTTAAAAGCTGGAAGCCAACAAGTTGATTGATTTTTTTGTCAGTTTTTACCCGTTAAAATGGTGTAAAGTTGTTGACTTTTTTGGTTGTTTTGAATTTTGCAGGTCTTGCTGACACCGACCCATTTGGCGATAGTAATGGAGTATGCTGCCGGCGGGGAGCTGTTCGAGAAAATATGCAATGCCGGCAGATTCAGTGAAGACGAGGTTTCTTTTGTCCTGTTTTTGTCATTTCAGATACAACCCCCCACTTTTTTTTTTTTTTTTGACAAAATTATATAATTTGACTGCCCTGTTTTGCTATGTTGATGATAGGCAAGGTTTTTCTTCCAACAACTGATATCAGGAGTCAGTTACTGCCATTCAATGGTATGGTATTGCCGTATTGGTACTACTACCTGTCTCTTACCTCTATTTTCCCCTGTTCTGCTCTGCTTCCTGATTTTCACTCTTTTGGGTTGTTTGAAACAGCAAATTTGCCATAGGGATTTGAAGTTAGAAAACACGCTGTTGGATGGAAGCCCAGCACCCCGTCTCAAGATTTGCGATTTCGGATATTCCAAGGCAAGTCTCAAACGAAAATATCTCTTCCCTTTTGGCCGATGAATCTATTCTTCAATCTAGACCTTGAAATTAGGGGCTACTTACTTAACCATGATATTGCCCTCCCCATCATTCGGACCAAATTTACGGGTCGGCAAAATACTATCGTGTACAATTCATGAAATGCAATTGAAATAAAATTTAGGCATTTCATCAGTTACATGTAATTATTTTTATATAGAATAGAACTCGTTAAAAATTAGAGTAAAATCAGAACAAATCTTTCGAATAAATCATTAAAAAAAAAAACGAGAAGAAATCTATAACCTAACTATGATGTTAAATTTCATGCACTACCTCCATAGAAAGTAGCTTGTATTGTATAGTGTCCACTTTCCTTTCACTTGTTGTTATACGTAAACAAAAAAAAATGAGTTTTACCACTTTTCATTTTTGTCATGATGTATAAATAGGTCACACTCATGGTCATTATATTCCATTATCCAAATGGATTATGAGATAATACAATCTTACAAGATTTCAGTTTCATACACCTTATATTTTAGTTTTTAACTATGGGAATCACCTACCCCTTTTCATCATTTTATGGGTCATTAGATGAGAAGTACGTACTACTAGTTACCAATATATAAAAGATGTAGGAAGTTTGATGCCAATTTCTGCATTTATTATTTATATACTAACGAAAATGGGTTCTGGGTACACGCGGCAGTCAGCTGTGCTCCATTCACAGCCCAAATCGACGGTGGGAACGCCGGCCTACATTGCACCAGAAGTCTTGTCAAGAAAAGAATACGACGGCAAGGTAACGGTCACCTAATTACCAAACAAACCCCAGACCACCAGAAGGAGCCAGCCACTGGTTGATAATGAGTTTTGTTCGGTTGCGTTGACATTTCATTAATCAAGAAAGTTCTGATTTTGATTGGCTTGCCTATTTGGCTTTATTAATTATTTGTTTGTTGTTAATTATTATTATTATTATTATTATTATTATTATTATTATTATTATTATTATTATTATCAGATAGCGGATGTTTGGTCATGTGGGGTTACGCTGTATGTCATGTTGGTGGGAGGTTATCCTTTCGAAGATCCTGACGATCCAAGAAACTTCAAGAAAACCATTCAGGTTCGTCCGTCGTTACTTTTTTTAAACTATTCTTTCTTATCAATTATTAAATCAATTAATTAAATATTGAAAGAGGGTTTATTCAAGTTTTACTGTCATTGGTTTTCAATTCAAATTTCGGGATGGGCTTCCCCTGCAGTTCACCGGGTAAATAATAAAAAACATATATACAATTTTGTCTTCGGTGGACTGATTTTTTTTGATGCATTCACGCACTCGTCTCATAATCGTCAGTTTGAGTAGGCGATTCATGTTAAAACGATTTCAATCATCACTTGTGATACGATAGACAAGAAAACACATGAATTTACATTGATTTGAAGGTTTTAGTGTTTAGTGATTTAGGGTTAGGGTTATGATTTGAGATTTGTTACGAGAATGTGTGTATTAAAGATTATGTGTATACTTAGAATGTGTGATTTTGAAAATTTGTTGTTTGGAACCCATAGAAGAATGCATGGGTTATAATGAACTATGGATACTAAAATCTCACAAAAAAAGTAAGATTATGAATACGTCATTTTCTATGTATTAGGAATACAACATGGATTTATGATTTATGAATACATGCATTCTGTTATTACATTTCAAGTAAAAAAACATTGTATTCTCAGGGTACATGTATACTGAGAATACAACATCTGAAATCGGAGGTTCCAAACGAGCCCTTAAGGTTAGTGTTCAAAATTGAAAGTTTAATGGTTAGGGTAATGGATTTGATTAGGATATTGGATTTGATTCATTGTAATTCAATATTATATCATCATATCATATTAATGTTATCAATCACAATCAAGTATTTTAAGGCTACTTTTAATGTTGAGTACATTCTATGCATTCAAATTTTGTGAGTGCGCCGAAGAATCCACTATATATTATATATTTGATTGATTGATTAGGACTATTATGAATTGACCCAAGATAATTGAAAGCCCTCATTTTGATATATATATATATATATGGTGGCTTCTACGGTACCCCGGGTGAAATTCAGGGTACCGTATACCTTGAGTATGAAAACACTATCTAGACCTTGAAATAGAAAAAACTTTGGGCTTGGTACTATACCCTAATCCTTATTGAGTGAACCCTAGGTCCTAATTATCTAAATCATAAACTATAAACCCTAAGACGGAGCATTCATTTTTTTGCCTATATTTGGACGAATCATAGCCGTCGATTATTGTTTCTAATTAAATTGATATTGGAGTATAAGATTTAGGGAGCTAAGACCTAGATTTTGATCTTTAAGGGTTAGAGTATAATATCATGTCCAAAAGATCAATCAATTCAAGGTCTGGATAGCGTTTTCATACTCAAGGTATGCGGTACACCAGATTTCACTCGGAGTACCATAGAACTCGCCATATATATATATATATATATATATATATATATATATATATATATATTATCCAGTAAGTAATTTGTCCCCACCTAACTAACATGTTTGGTATCATTAATTGGAGGACGGCAGCGGATCCTAAGCGTGCACTACTCAATCCCAGATTATGTTCGAGTCTCCAAGGAGTGCAAACATCTCCTCTCCACCATTTTTGTGGCCGACCCTGAAAAGGTCATTATTATTATTACAAAGAAAAAACAACTTTGCTCTTGCTTTCAGCCTTAAGTCTACAAGCCTACAATCATTAAAGTTGTAAATTGTGCATTAATTTGTTTGTCTGTTTGTTATTTTGGCTGCAGAGGATAACAATCCCAGAGATAAAGAAGCATCTGTGGTTCCAGAAGAACTTGACAGCGGAATTCAACGTGGGATCAGAAGCTGAAGGGAAGGTCGGAGCTAATGGCGGGGAATTAGGAGGCGACGGCGGCGGCCGGGGGTGGCAGCAGACGATGGAAGAAGTGGCGGCCATAATCCAGGAGGCCAGGAAAGGAGGGGATGGCCTGAAATTGGGCGGCAATTTGATTGGCTGTGGAGGTAGCATGGAGCTTGATGATCTGGATGCTGACATGGACGACATTGACGATGTGGAGACCAGTGGAGAATTTGTTTGTGCTTTGTGATGTACATTCATATATTATATATTTCTGTCTCATAGTGATTATGTTGTGATATCTATTGTCTAGGGAGAAAGGGAAACTGGCAAGATAAGAAGATTGCGATCAGTGGGAAAATGTGGGCTTTAGTTGGTTTGATTTTTTTTTTCTCTTCCATGGTGATGAAAAGATTGCTATTATAAGAAAGTAATATAAAAGAGTATTATTATGTTCAAATAATACCAACAAGATATCGCGAAATGTGACATATTTTTTCATTTACTGACGGGACGTGACACTTCCTAGCGTTGGATAATCCACTTAACGACGACGGAATACAAAACAACGGTAAAAGAATTATAATTCCAGCAAAAGTTGGAATCAGAATTCCATGGTAGATCTGGGTTGGATTGTCCAATTCCATCACCCACGTTAAAAATATGGTGCTTTTTTTCCATTTGAAGAGCAGTTCGAGCACCCATATTCCATCTTACAGAAAAAGTACAACGTCGACATTTCACTCCTTTGTCACATTCATTTCATTTCACATTCCATGGAACGTTAACATTCCATGAAATCCCACATTCCGACATCCAAACGACCACTATCCTACAGGTGACAAAAAGATCGCTGGAGACACGCTCTTCCTATATCGAGGCAAGTCTATGCAGGCAAAGCAAGTAGAGGTTTCTTCTCAAGTTGGCAAGGCAAGTATCGATTCAACTATGTTTTTTTTTATATTGTTTGTTATGAACGATTCGTAGCGATTTAAACCAAGTTACGATATAACTAAACCCTGCAGCTCAATGACGTATTACCTTGTCAAAAAGCATCAATCCTCCAGCGGCAAACAACAGTGTATTGCATGCCCACCGAGTCTTCTTTCACAGGTGCACCATTATCCCACATGTGCCAGTACCCAGAACTGGCACCATCAGATTACATTGCTAACAGGCAATCTCGAATGCATAACTAGAGCTGCACATCAATAGAGAGGCGCTATTCTCCAAGTTACTGCCTTTGGAATAAGGATACGCCAAAACTCTGGATTTCCAAGTTCCTGTAGTTTCAGAATAGCAAGTGCAGCCAGTGTACAAATGCATTAGATCCACATGATCAATCGTATTAAGAACATAAGAACCAAAACTAAATACATATCATAAGAGGAGAGAATCGGATTCAAAAAATTTCCCAGCTCACAACAGCTATGAATTACATAAAAAACTGCTTTAGTGAGTGCAACCTAATAGAAGTACTCCTATCACTTTCTGGAGTAACCCTTAAAGCTCGCCCATAGAATAGACGGTAGAACACAAATAAACAATCACAAAAATCAATCCCTTTTACTCCAGTTAATCATCTATAATGAATCCTAGATTGTGGAAGCCAACAATCTATCAAAAGCAACATCAACATACATTCATAGGAAGCTCAATCAATAAGTTGAATAATTGTTGGATTTCCAATGAAAACTCCAATGTTTATGCATGAATTACGTTAGATGACACTGCACAGAAATTTAATCAATATATTTAGTATAACCGGAATGGCATACTTACTGTTCTCTCGCACTGAACTATTGGCACGCTCTGGCACAAGCATGCAATTTGATGAAGACGCCAAATGAGAAGAACGGGCACCAAGTAGTAAGGGCCGGCTATATTTATAATGGTACCCATCCTGAAGATCTCTTATACCTGCTGCAGTAATTATTTGACCAGAAGACACTCGAACAATAACAAATCCCACAATCTTTCTCAGAAGGAAAAGATCAAATGATTTTCACATCACGATGCCAAAGACAGTAGACAAAAAAATTATTGGAACTGAAGTTAGCAGAAACCACCAATCATGGTTTTATTAGATACATAAGAAGTCATGCCTCTTGGTTCAGATGTACACAGTTCTCCCTAGTGAATTACCAGCCACCCAGGTTTGAAGAGAATATCTTGCTTAAAGTCACGTCCTGAAACTGAAGTTGACTCTCCTTGGCGTCGGTAACACTGCGAAAATACCAACACAATGTTAACATTATGCAATAAATTTAAACATACCACCCTCCACAAAGTTCATTCGAAATTACACAACCTCATTCAGCTACCAATTTGTTGGGCTCCGGTTTGAGCCATAATTTTAAGGATCCTTATTTATTAGTTTGTTTCCGCCAAGTTAACCTCATTAGAAACTACTTAAATTTTGGAAAGATATGCTAGTTTCAATGCAATTTGGTGTCCTCCAGAAATCTGCTTCCGAGAAAGTATGAAGTTGAGACCATTAAAAAAAAAAAAAAAGAATGCCACAGCAGTATATATATAAATCAAACCTTGTAACAGACAACAGTGTCATCAGGATACATTGCAAAGAGCTTAGTTCCAAGGCGGGCATGACAAGAGTCACAGAGGCTCTCATCACTGATCTGCAAATTCCGAGATCTTTCCTCCCATCTTGCAAGTCTTGCATCGACATAAACAGCTCTCGATAGATTATGTACAATCTGGAAAGAAAAAAAAAAGCAAACTCTAGCTGAATGAGATCAAAGAAACAACACATGGCCAGAGATAAAATGCTGAAGTGGTATGAAATAAAATCAAGACAACATTCACCAGTGCGCTTGTTCTGCAACTACTAATCCCATGACCCATTAAAAGAACAATAAACTTCAAAATCAGGTCACGGTAGAGGTAAAAAAAAGTTATGTTTAAACTTCCAAAGGAACAGGATAAAGATTTTTTTTACAGAAAAAAGAACAGGATAAAGTGATACATACTTTCCAGAGAACGGTTTGCACCTGATTCCAAGCAAAAGAAGTATATAACTTACTTTTCCTTGATGATGATGATGAACTCGAGCCCTCAACATTCTCAATATTGTGTCCGAGGCTAGCTGGAGGGGCATATCAGCAGATAATGCCTGCAGCAGGAAAGAGAACATATCTGAGAAAAAAATTCTTTTGCAAGTTCCTGAAAATAAAGTGAAACAGTGCAGCTGTCATCTTTTATTTAGCAATGGTTTTTGTGCATAGATTTTCAACTAGCAGACAAAGCATCATAATATGTAGAAGCTCTTGTTTTCTGTGAACATAGAGAATAATTAGGTAACCATATACACTCAACTTTTGTGCTGAGTCTTTTCACCCTTAGAACGACAGAAGCCCAAACCAGCCCACCCCACAAAGGCAGAGGAACAAGTTTTTTTCTAATTTCCCCAATTTTCTAACACAAACAGCACTAGCAAGAACGGAAACTAGAATTAAGGCATATAACAGAAATGGACCTCGGAACAAGGTCCCTAACTTCTGGAGGTATTCTGGGCCGCTAATTTTGTCTGTAAAAAGACTCAGCATAAAGGCCAGATGATGTCAAAAGAGGACTCAACGGAATGTCTGGCACATGGTATTGCTCTACTCCAACAAATATGCACATTCTTCATCAAGTAATTAGGCTAATGGTATATGCTGTATGCATAATGGTCATTCAGTCGCAGAAAATTCGATGCCGTTCAGCAAAATGCGTAGAAGAAATGGAAGCAGACTAATACCTCCAACACTTGTAAAGGATCTAATGACTCTCCATGATTGTGCAAGAGGCGGACTGCAGCATTGAACATAGGCTCTTTTCCGTTTTGTGGATCCAAATACATGTCAAGTAACCTAAAGAGATATTATCACAATCAGTTAAAGAATGCAACGTCAAGCAAAGCAGCAAGGGATCAGAAGGAAAACAATAATTAACTGCATATAGGCATCTGGTCTTCCAATTTCTGCACAATAATGCTCAGCAGCTTCACTGTCCTCAAGCTTCCTGAAAAATCGAGCTTAATTGTTCATGAAATTGCAAATTCTTGCAGTCTACCATAATCAGCATGCAACGGATTCAGAAAGCAAGCAAAAAATCAACACCCCTGAACCAAAACATCAAGCAAGAGTCTTCAAAATGCATGCTAATAAAAGAATGGTACGAGAACTTTTCAGGTACTACTAGTGACTATAGACTACACAGCTGGCTTTGATGGTCTAGATTGCATCTACTGTACCCATGGTCTCAGACTTGGGGTAAAGATAACCTTGAGGTTGACAGATGGTTTCGTTAGTTATTAGTTATCAATTATGGGTCATTGTTTATCACATACCCTCCTAAATCAACCATAAAGCAAAAGCATTCAGAACTAAGTATCCAAACCCATGACAGATCATTTCTACCACAAAGCAAATGAAAGCTTAAGCAACTGCCACTTGTCAATTATTTCTGGAGGAGATAACAGATGTGATGCAACTAGCTAGATATATTAACTTACAAGGCCAGAATCTGTAGCACCAACGACTCTTGCCCTAGTTTCCGGTACAAGATAGCCTGTAAAAGAAAGTTGTACTTAAATATGCAACTATGAAGAACACAATTAGTTAGTGTCTGATGTATCTTGTTATAAAAAACCGGAGGTAGTGGTAATTTACACTAGAGTGCGAATAATTATCCATGACCAATGGGACAATGTAAACACATAGCTGAGAAAGAGCCATGAAAGAACCTTTTCCAGCCACAATTCTGATCCTTCTATTAACACAAGGACTTCGTCTGGATCATATAAATCTGACGACTGTAAGAATATCTGCAACCTTTCACGCACAGGACTCTGAAAGATTGTGCTCCTCTCAGAGTTGGCAAATCTAGTCACCTCTATTCTTCCATCGTCAGAGTCCTGGAAGGAACTTTCCAGTTCAATGGTTTCAGTTGCTGACTTTGCAAGTGAAAGGGCATACAATGTGTGAATGTTTGTGTCCATTGAGTCTTGATCTTCAATCAACCACTGGAGGTACCTATTGACCACATATGCCGAATGTAACCTTACTGAAACATAAAAGGAAACTAAAAATAGAACCTAGGTCACGAGAGAAATAGCTTAGTAAACTTCAACATCAGAGCTAAGAAAAATGGAGAATATTCACTGCTAGTCACAGCCCAACAAATGTTACCAAGAGGTCCTAAGACCTACTCGTGTAACTTTGATTAAAAGTGGAAACTAGGATACGAGAGACATAACTTAGTAAACTTCAACATCGTAGCTAAGAGAAATGGAGAGGATTCACTGCAAGTGACAACCTCAGTAAGTTGAACCAAGAGAGACGTTGTAAGAACTACTCATGTACCATTTATTCATTGAAATTTTTTGGCACGCACCTTTGGAGTATTTCAACCTTTTTCGGACCAATGGCTGCAATTACTTCATCTGAGAAGAACAAAATGTAAGCCCAAGAGAATACCAAACCAACACAAGGTAGCATAATAAACTTCACAAAAAATGATGAGGGCACTGCCATTATCTGTGAGAATAATAAGGACTAGATTGTCTCCAATAGAAGATATACATATTTATAGACCAAGCAACGAGTACCATACTAAATGAACTCCGATCTTATAGTTAAACTTGTGAAAAGAAAACGATACTGGAAAAGGAAATCCAATAGCCCAGAAGATGTCAGCACTGACCCAGTAGTTCTTTTACTATCAATTCCATTAGTAAGTGATATGAGCTTATAATAATATATATATATATATATATATATATATTATATCAGAAACAAGCGGATTGAAAACAAGCCGTCAAATGTCTGATGTAAGAAATTGCAATGGAACCAGAATATAATGCACATCAATATATAACAAGTCCAGATGTTACATTAAGCACCCATGCCATCAACAAGGTTGTCAGCTGAAAGTAAGCAGTGAGAATTTCTCAATGCCCAAGCTTACCAGGTGAAAGCTGATCTGCTCTTTTCTCAGATGTCAAAACTTGAACTGCAAGTATTGGATTAACATCTGAAATCTGAACACAGAACGTATATCAGCCAACAGTTTCCATGTTACAAGCAAGAAACACCAATTAGTCTGGTGCATACCCATCCAAGATGTTGCAAAACCAAAACTTGATCAGATGATTCCTCAAGGATTTTTGACGCCTCAGTAGCAGCAGTCTCTCTACCAGAAAGAATATTTGTTGCACTACTTTGTACGTCATTGTCCTCAGCAGGATCTTTCCACAGACCGGATGAATAGTTTCTGTCCAAAATGCGCCATATTGAAAGAGCCTTTGAGCTCATCCCTTTACTTGCATACAAAAAGGCTAGCGTCCGTAGGTGCCCAGATTCATCTAACAGAGTTTCCAATTCCTCCTGCACCACGCATGGAAGTTGCACGTCACCCTTCAAGCTCCTGACAACAGCCTCTCTGTTTTGAAATGCAGTGGAATACTAAATTGCCGCAATTCTAGCATTGCCGGGAAGCTTAGAATCTAATTTAATGAGCACTGGACCTACATCTATCATAAGAATGTACTGCACCCCAAACAACTAGGATCTTTGTGAAAACACTTATCACTGGAATGAGCCTCAACATTTTAATTTTACTCGTTTGTTCACCATATTTGCCAATCAACTGGTGATGCAATGAGTACAGTATTCCATGAGTCCCAAGCCAACCCAAGTGTTCGCACACTAATTATCTCAAACTTGTTTATCTATCTACACGTGTAGCATGCAAACACAACTCCAAATCAACTCACCACCATGGTAACACAGGAGAAGTCACATTATTAGGGTTGAGAGATGCTCATAAAACAAAGTATTGATCCTCTTCGGATAAATTTATTTTTTTGCCCATTTCTTCCAGTGCCGTGAAAACTTTCAATGTTTTCCCAATGCAAACAATTGCAGAATGAATGCTCATCAATACCATATGATAAAAAAAATGAATAGTGAAGACAGATATGGCCCGTACCACAATGCAGTTGTTCTCAGAAGAAGCAAGTGCTTCCATATCATCAACATTGTTAAGGGCTCTGTAGAGATACATCAGTAGCGTGTCCACACCCTCCCTCACCAGCAGAGGCAACTCTTTTACACGAGATATCTCCAAGTATCTGATTCAAAAAGCTGCTTTGGGTTACAAGCAACCACAATTGCAACAATTATAACATACAACTGAAAAACATGTAAATAGTCTACAGAAACATGTCAGACCTGATGATGCTTTTGATTGCCAATTCAAGAACTTCAGCTCTGTTTGGTGGATTCAGGAGAAAATTTTCATCCACAACAGTATCTACGCCAGCCTTTTTTAGAAAAACAGCCCGTTGGATAGCAGTCAAGCCATCATCTACAACATCCTCAAGTGGTGCAGGAGGAGGATGTAAACCCCAGTATCTGTTTCTAGGAACCTGAAAGGCAAGGTGAAAATAAAAGTATACCGGTAAGAACATTGCAGCCTTTCATCCTCTAATTGAACTGTTACACCATAAAAAAACATAACTAAAACAGACCATGCATCCAATAATTGCTCAAACATACTGTGCAGGACCTCAGGTATATCCTATGTCCCTCTATCATCATTCACAATGTTCCACTCATTTTCTATGGCTCAACACCACAACCATGAAAGTTTAATCAAGTGGTATTTTGAGTATGATCCAATCTACAAGTCTCCTCCTTGTAGAATTTGAGATCACAGAACTACTCTGAATTCATGACACTATGAACATACATGTTCACTACACCTAGTTCCATGTATAAAATTACAAACTTACAGCTGTTACTAGCTTGATTTTAAAGAATCCCCCAACACATATGAGGGTGAATCCTAAATGGAGTGCTGAAGTACAGAAGTTCAAATTGCCCCAATCCATTTTCCAGGACAGTAGTTCTTGATGAGAAAGAATTAATAGGATGGTGAAAAGGGACAAGTTAACTTTGATGCAGAAGAGCGATGGTGAGAGAAGCACAGGATCACCAATGATCTGACTGGGAGCAACAGGATGGCTATGTCAACAAAGACTTCACCAATCACAATCTTAGACAGCCTCAGACAGTACCTAACCCCTCCTTCAGAGCAGTAGTTGCACGGACATTTCGTTAACAATTGCCGGTACATGGTAATGCATTACCACTTCGGACCACTATCACCAAATGACATCATAGTGATCCTAGATAGCTGATGGTCAAACTATGATTAGAACAATCAACGATAACCACTTAATCAACTTTTGTTGCCACACACTTCTCGCCGTATACCCCATTCAAGGATTGCATCAGATAGGACGCATCAGTCAACCAGATTCAGGTTCAGTAATTGTTTCACGGTTTCTCATTAACATTTCCAGAAGACAAATTCTTCTTCTGTCCTTAGATATTTTGCATCACACACCCGCTTCACCCCTTAAATCCATTTCAAGTTACTCGAAAAAGTAAAAGGATGTTGTCAGCCCATACCAGCTTTGTAAGGAAAATGTTGCAAAATAAGTCTTTTATATAAGAATTTTAACCAACAACAATCATACAGACCACTTTTTCATAAAACAGAACAAACAAAATTATAATGTACAATTATCATATGGACAAAATAAGAGGACATACCAGCAAAGACCAACGGTTCGGGTCTCGCAAGATAAATGGGAAAAGCTCAGATGGCTGCATTGTTTCTGATTGCAAAAAGTGGTCAACTGCCTCCTTAAAATGCAGGTCAAAAAGCAAGAGGAACCCCACTTGAGCATGTACGAAGGACAGCATATCGTTTCTCAATTCGCCTTCACATTTGAGCTCCTCTACTAAAGCCATTGCTTCTTTGAAGTTTTTCTTTCTCAGTAGATCTTTAATTTGTTCTTCATAAGGCACCTTATGATAACAGATAACCTATGAACAAGGCAAATGATTAGAGATTATTGTTAAAAAATGTCTCTTAAACTTGCTTACATCAATAACATAGTCATTGCAAAGTCCTCCACATTATTGTTCCTGTTTTTCAGGATCCATTATCCAAATGATTTTATAAGGAGAAACATTTTGTTCACAAACTAGCAGCGGACAACACACTCTATGTTCGGCTAACAAAAACAAAAGGCTCACAATTATATTGCAACAAGCTAGATCTGCCTATGCTGGTTGGGACGGTTCTAGAGTTTGATAAAAATTGAGCATGGGACATTTGAGATTGTGGCTTCATATCAAACTCCACAAGACAAAAACACTGTATAGATTAATTCTTAGTTAATTATAGTTGCTTACATGTTATGATTAAACTGTTTGATATGCACTCAAAGCCAGCGGTTCCTTAACAAGAACAGATGAAATTGAAGTGTCAAAATCTGAAGCTGAATGAACAGAAGTATATACCTTAGTAGACGTTGCTATGGTAATCAGTTTACTGTCCCCACCTTCCTCGCCCGCTATTAGACAAGGCCCAACTCCTTCCCCTCCATATACAACCGTCTGAACACAACTACCTGATTTCTTATGATACAATTCCAACTTTCCATCCCTCACAATAACAACATAAGAAGACAACTCTCCAACTGATTGAGGATGACCACGGAAAACCAAGCTCCCATCAACTGGCTGCCCATGATCATTAACAACAACTCCAACATTGTCAACCAACAACAAGACCTTCTTCTCTTTCCACAACACTTTTAGCAATGGCGATCTAGAAGAATCGGGCAAGCTGAAGATAACCTCACTTTGCCCAGTGACACAGGAAAATAAGCTATACCCCATCATTGTACCGAAAATTATCGAGTCATTGAGCCATGCAATCGTTTTAACCCCTTCAACACTACTCTGGATCTCTTTCAGCATCACAAAAGAACCATTCAAACCGCTAGCACCACCTTCATGTTTCACTGTTCTGGAATCGCTGCCAAATACAAGCTCTACCAATACGATCTTTTTACCAACCGCAACTGCAAAAACGTTACAGTTGCCTTCAACTTGTTGGGTGGAGTCTCTGGTTTTCACTCCGTTAGCTCTAACCCCGCCGCCCAATTTCTGCAAAATGCGCAGACTCGCACTCGAAGATTCCGAATTGGTCGTAGTAGCCAAGATACTCAATATGTCAGAGCTACACGACTCGTCACTGATGATTCTCTTCGCAATTGCAGAAACTCCCTTAACCAAACTCAATTTCTTGAGCTGCTGATCCAATAGCGAATCGGTCAAAAACAAGGAACCGTCGCAGAGAACTAGAAGTTTCCCCATCTCGCCAAGGACCAGCACTGTTTCCACAGGAGAATCCCCAACTGAAACACTCCGCATAAAGGAAATTTTCCTCTTGGAATCATCGTCGCGGTCGTCGGGAGTCGCAGCACGGTTAGACGCGGAGACGGAATTGGTGGCGAGCAGGAGTAAGGATCCGGAGTACGTACCGATGTAGATTAGAGTTGGGGAATCGTGGCCGGAGGAGACGGCGATGGAGCGAATTGAAGTGCGAGAATGGGCCGAGATATCGAAGGTGGACAGTGGTTCCAGCACGGTTCGGGCCATGAGATCGTACTTGACCATGGATGTAGACTAAAGATTTCTCGCGCGAAGCTGCTGTGCTAAGGTTTTGAAAGAGAGACGACTTCGGAGAGAACGGCCATCGATAATCAGAAGGCAGCCATCACGGATCAGCTTCCAAGTTCCAATAGCTTGCTGCTGAGTGGAGAGCAGAGTAGCAGACTATCCCCTTCTGTTTCGCATCAGGTGGGTTCTTAACTATGTAGTATGTACATGGTAACGGCTACAGTGCTAATTGTACAATAGTTAGCACCGTCCTAACTAAAGGAAAAATTACTACTAGTTTGAATTAGTAGTGATTTAGCTTAAATGTTGTATTGATTTTATAATAATCCGTAGTGATTTCGTTATTTTTAGTAGCGTTTTTTGCTAGTTATCACGGTAGGGATGAGATTAGGACCTAATCCCATCCCTGTACATGGTATTCGATTTTTGGGTACATTTGATTCAGGAAGCAACCCATTTTGGGTAAGTGGTTACTTTTTTTAAGTGAATGTAAGTAGTTACCCTTAGGCGAATCTCACATCAACAAAGTACGGAAGAGATCAATGGGGTAAAATAGATGAGTTCTTATAGGAACTTAGAAGTTAAACGTGCTCAATGTGGAGTACAGCAAGAATCGATGACCTTATGGGAAGTCACCTTGAATTGCACCCCAAATAAAAAATCGTGAGAGTCTAGACCCAAAGCGGATAATATCTTCGTTAGAAAAGGTTTGGGATGTTAGTATGTTACAAGTGGTATCAAAACTTCTATGCGTCTCTCTTGAACGATGGTGGGGCAAACCTTAACGAGCGCGTTGAGTTCCAGGGGGTGTATGTAACACCTTAGGCGACTCCCACATCGACAAAGCACGAGAGAGATCCATGGTTCATAAGTAAGAAATCGGTTTTAACTGACAATACGCGTTTTGAGGTGAAATGGTGGAGTTCTTGTAAGATTTTCGAAGTTAAACGTGCTTAGTGTGGAGTACAACAAGGATGGGTGACCTTATGGGAAGTCACATTAAATTGCACCCCAAATCAAAAACCGTGAGGATCGAGGCTCAAAGCGGATAATATCTTCGTCAGAAAAGGTTCAGGATGTTACAGTTACTTCAACTTTCGTATCATAACTTGGCCGATGCTTTTATCCTTTTTTGGATGAATATCACATTTTATTAGATTTCTAGAGTCTCTACTACAGCAAATATATCCAATCTCGTTTCATGAACTTATAACAATCCTTCATGATAGTTCTTCACAAGTTGAACATAGGGGATGGCAATTTGAAACCACCCCGTCGGGTATTACCTGACCCAATCCGCGATGTAGCATGTATTACCCGACCTGTAGTAGCGTGGGGCGGGGCATGAATATATACTTCAGACCTGTCCTGCCCCGTTATTGGCCCATTTTATGTCATTTTTTTACAGTATCAATGCATATTTATCCTATTGTGACTTTTCTTCAACTAGTTAGACTCAATTTCACATTCTATCATCACTATTTTTCATTCATAAAATGTTTCTTCTTCGTTTTAGCGTAAAGAGTACAATTTAGCGTGTGTTTTTTCAAATAATATGTAAGGGTGGGTCGACCAACCCCGACCCGTACCCGCGCGAGTATTACCCGACCCGACTCGCACTAGTATGGGACGGGGCATGGGTATTGAGGTACACGCCTCATCCAGTCCCATTGCCATCACTCTCTAGGGCTCGTTTGGATGGAGTATTTGTATGAGTTATTTGGGTTCAAATAACCCACAATGAGTTATTTGGACGCAAATAACTTGTTTGGCAGCGTTTTACTGAAATGAGATATTTGGACAATGAGTTATTTACAAATAACTCAAAACGAGTTATTTGAAATAACTTATACCCATGTGTTATTTCGAAATAACTCGTTTTATCATTCTTCTTTTACCAAATACCACATGTCAAATACCACATTTGCATGGTTCAACCAAACGAGATACTTTATTTCAATTACCACTGAAATACCACATGAACAATAAATGAGTTATTTGACTCTACAAATACTACATTGACAATTAACCCATCCAAACGCCCTGTGTTATTTCGCAATAACTCATTTTACCACTATGCTTTTACCAAATATCACATTTGCATGGTTCTACCAAACGAGATACTTTAACCAATTACCATTGAAATAACACTGAAATACCACATGAACAATTAATGATTAATCCATCCAAACTACTTGAAAATCTTCAAGATGAAAATTTCAATGTCACTCCCACTTTTGATAATTTAAGAAACATATCGGTAGAAACCTGAGTTTTTATGGGTAGTTATCATAAAAGGTCACACAACTTGTCACTTAGTACAAAACGGTCACTAAACTTCATTTTTGCATGTTTCAGTAAAACATCTTTGGACGAATGCCAAAAGGGTCATTCCGTCCGATACCATCAAAAAAACCATCAATTAGGTCCAGTCAATTTGACACGTCACTCCAAACAATAATAAAAAAAATGGACACATCAGACCAACTTAACCAGCCGACTCAACCCATGCCCGCCCACCCAACCTAGCCAAAGACAAAATGGCTGCTATATCAGTAATCATCATATCATACGGGGGCGACGCAACAATGGCTGTTATACATTAAAAAAAAAAATCAGAGCTCAACAGCTCTCGATTCACTATATGCTGCTTCAACTGAGTGACCCACCACTCCCACTCCCACCCCCAATCTTCTTCTCATTGTTCTCCTTCCCTCCGTTCGCCGCCTCTTGGATTTTTCGTTCCAATTGGAGATTTGAGTTTTAATTTTGGTTTGCATCTCTCTTCCCTTCAGGGGGATTTGTTTGGTTAGGGGATTTGTACTTGTGTAGTAATGGGCTCCATTGCCGACAGTAAATGGGACGACGAAGACGGCGAGTATTCCATAATCAGCTATAAAGGCGAAATTGGGTTCATCGATTATCAGGAAGACAAATCTGTTTGCAATAATGACCCAACAGGGGATGGTCTCGTTGCGATCTCCTTCCTGTTCCGCATGCAATACGTGAAATCGCAGTCGGTTTCTGTGGGAGAAAAAGTCGCCGCTCCCATCACCATTAGGAACTCCACCGACGAAGTCGTCGAGCTATGGGCCAAAATCTACGCCTCTACTACTGTGGATTCCTTCCAGCTCTCTGTGATGAAGCCGCCTCCCTCCACCAGAAATGCTGTTGCTAACGCCGCCGACGGGTGGGTTGGGTGGGCGAGTTGGAGTTGGGTGGGCTGGTTCAGTTGGTCTGACGTGTCCATTATTTTTTATTTTTTGGGGTGACGTGTCAAGCTGACTGGACTTAATTGATGATTTTTCGGATGGAATTGGATGGAATGACCATTTTGGTATTCATTCAAAGGTGTTTTACTGAAACGTGCAAAAATGAAGTTTAGTGACCGTTTTATACTAAGTGACAAGTTGTGTGATCTTTATGATAACTACTCGAGTTTCTATATATATGAAACAGGGATTAGAGAATAAGAACTGAAGAGAAATTAAATAAAAATAAAGAGAATTAGGGATGGAGAAGGAGAATTGAGAAACAAATAGGGAAAGAACAAGAATTGGGATTAGGGAATAAAAGAGGAAATTGAAGCTACATAGGAGAGAATGGCTGGTGGTTTTAGTGAAAAGAGAGACGAAAATCAGAGAATCTGAGGCAATAGGGTTTGGAGATACTTTTCTAATTAATCTTCTTTCATAATAATAACAAAATACACAAAGTACGTATATATATGTATATATATATAAAAAAGACCGAAAAATCTAATAATAAACCTAATACTACTCAGCTACTACTAACCTTGATAATTAATACTCTATTAATAAATAGAACAACAATAATAGAACCGTAGGTTTCTATCAATACCCTCCCCTTAAGACCAACATTGTCCTCAATGTTGGTCGACTACGACTCGGCCAACCTACTACATTTTTTATGTCCTTGACAATCGTTCAATAGATTGCACTTCCTCCTTTTCCAATTACGTTGGGCACTTAACCGAACTTCCCAACATAAGCAGCTCCACTTTGTACTGACTCATCAACATGAATCATAAGACTCCATAGCGTTAGCCACTGTCACAATTGTCGCGGTTGTTGTAGAAGCATCCTACATTTCAGCGTAATCATCAAGCTTCCCACTGTCGAGGACGTGATATTGTTTTCGTTTACAATTTCGTCAATGTCAAGGGGCACACCTAGGGGAAAATCGGTACAGTATCAGTATTCCAATACCGAAATCACGAATACCGAATTATACCCTAAAATCAATCCCAATCTCAATTCCTAAATAATTTCGGTATCCCAATCCCAATCCTAAATATTTCGGTATCCCAATCCCAATCCCTAAATATTTTGGTATCCCAATTAGTATTTCGGTATCCCAATCGGTATTATCGGATACGAAATTAATTACATTTGCAATTAATAATTAAATATATAAATTAGATTTGATTGTTTAATTTAGGGTAAAGAGACTAAGCAAAGATTCTTGAGTTTGCCTAGAACTAGGACATGGACATGGAGAAGGAATGAGTGGTAACAACTCAAGTTCTTGTCATTGGTAATCTTTAATTCGACGAATTGGAGGTTGAGAGATGATTAATACTAGCATTTTATTTTTTATGTTATGAAAATAACAAGAGATTAGATGAGAGACGAGAGTTACTTAAACTGGGAAGCCAAATTGAGTTGGATAGGGATTGGGGACTTGTGAGTTATGAAAGAGTGGGGAATGACCAAAAGTTGTGTGTTGTGTTTCATTAATTTTTTGTTGTTGTTTCTCGGTATTTCGGTATTCAATATAAACCGATCTCAATCCTGTAATCCCGAATACCGAATAGCACTGCAAAATGAATCCCAATCCTGATTCCAAATAGTGATAAGTTCGGTACGATATTCAGTCTATCCCAAACACCGATACCAAACTTCAAGCCATATGCACACCCTTCTCCATTGAGGAAGGGCTTTCCAACACTATTGTGTTGATTAATTTGTCACTATTGACCATAATAGACTCACTTTTTTGCAATATCATCAAAAGCAACGTAAGTCTGAATTATACAAAGGGTTACATGATGTCTTTAGTAAAGTTGATCTTGACACTAAGCATTTGGGTAGTGTGATTTTGCCAACAACCTATATTGTAAGTTCTCGATATATGAAGCCTCTATATTTAGATGCATTTGCTATATGCCCAGGTGCGGAGGTAGATGGAGTCTTGGGGGCCGCCAAACCACTTGAGAATTTCGAAGTTACGTATAAGGCCTTGTAGAATTGAAGAAAATTACGTATAAACTAAATGTTATTGTATAAGTAAATTTTTGCGCAATAGTAATTCAAGAGGTTGAGAGTGGACGAGTGGCTTGTTTACCTTCGTTTGAGAGAGTGGTTTTGAATCTCACCTACAACAATGCAGTTTTTCTTGCCATTTTCATGTTGAACTGAATCAATTACAATCATCTTATATTTAACCACATCCTCAACTAAACTACAACAAATTTAGCATTCTTTTGCCCTTTTCATATTGGAATAAGCCAATAAAAATTATAAAATTTTAATCTCTCATGTTTGAGGGTTGTTTTGATTATATAATAATTATTTTTTCATATAATAATGTTGATAAACATTCATTTTTATTTATAAAAATATTAAAACCTGCTACATATCGAAATGCATAATAAATTTTTTGTTCGTAGTTTAACTGCTCCTTTCATATGGATTTGACCAATAGAAGTTTTAATCATGTTAGCTTTCATATTTTGTTTTACAATCCCTATAGTTTCAAACAAATTGTTCAAATTTTGAATCATAAAGTTTATGGGTTCTTTTGGTTATATAATCAATTGTTTTTCCAAAAGATAATATTGACGGGAATTTACTATCCAAAATATTGTTAAATGTGCTAGACATTGAAATACATTATTACTCTCATTTGTTTGAACATATTATGTAGTAATTATAATTTAGAGTGATTTCAATTATCTCAAATAATGTCTTGTGTCGTTATGATAATCAAAATATTAAAATTTATATTTTTTTGTGATGGTAATCTAAGTAACTCTCCTACCCGAGACTCAAATTCTGGCTCTGTCCCTATATATGGCAATATTCGTCATGAGTCTTATATATTGTTGTTTTTATTTATTGTGGTTTGGACATTTTGATTATAAGTTTTTTATATATTTATTATTCATAATTATTTTTTCTCACGATTATCTCGATCTTTTCATTATGTTGAAATGTAATTCACATTGTGTCACAAAGAGATCTTTGTGAGAAGTTCCTTAGCCGATTCTTCCAACCATTAAAGATAGCTCAATGAAGGAATGAAATCACAAATTTTCAACAAAAAGATGGGAAATTTGGGTATGAAGCTTGCAAGCGATTCCACTCACTCCTCCTTAGTTGGCATCAGCACTAATTAACAAATTGATTTCAAGTGAAAACATTTTATAATGACCTAAGCCTGGAGGCTAAACAAACTATACTTTTGTAACTAATTTTTTGGACAATATTTTGATATGATAGATTTTTATTATGGATAGAATAATCGTGTTGATAATGCGTTATGAGATAACTTGACACTCAGGATATATGAATAGTAAATAATGAAAAAATACATCAAATCACTGGAAGGACTAGAGAGGGAATATGAACCAACATTCTCATTTCATTTCTTTTAGTCTCTTTTTACCCATAGATACAACGACATACTATTAATATGCATAAATATGAAGACAAACACAATCATATAATGGATGAGATGGAATGCATAATTGGCACCAATAAGTTAGGGGAAACAATTAGTTGTAATAGTTAGATTGACATGATATAGACAATTGATATTCTATACATTGATATTTGAACATCCACAAATACATCTACATATATGTTTATAAGGGCTAAAACAACTGGAACATCCGGACTATCAACAAATTGTCACATTTTCAATATCACAATATGACAATCCTAGTACAAACTATCTACACCCAATATTTTTTTTTATGATCGCTTAGAAAATGATTGAAATGAAAAATGAAAATAAACCCTCTCCAACAAACAAACCCCCATCTTCTTCCCACCACTGCCTCCCAATTTTTTCACAGCTCAATCTGAATCTGCCTCCTTCGTCGGTCCCCACATCACCATCATCCCTCTTGTCCTTTCAAAATCTACACTCAAAGAGAGTTGCTTCAACCACAACTGTTGCCAAGGACATTAATAGCTCCATCACGGAGCTCCACTCAACCGTCACCACTTCCATGTCGGTAAGCTCCACTTCCACCTCTCTTTCCCACGTAGATTCCTCTTATACTAGTTGTGCAAATTCGAGAGTGCGGAGAAGAAGAGGCTGGAGCACAACCAATTGACGAGAAAATAATAGAAATTATCGTTTGTGGAAGCTAAATTGGACCTAGTGTGAATAAAAGAGGCCAATAGAGAGTAGAAAGTAAAGGATGAAAGGTTTTCGTAATTGGGATTTTTGTGGACAATTGAGAATATTCTAAATCTTTAAATGCATAGACGAGCCAAAAAGAAGAGGATGAGAAATGGTAGGTCCTTGAAAGAATGATGATTAGGGTTGTAAGATATTTCAATGAACTAAGTTTCTTTTATTGCATTTATTCATTTTAATTATAAACATGATTTAGAGAGAGAAAGTGTGTAAGTCAAGGATAAAAAGTAAAAGTATATTGTAATCTCCCTAGTGAGCTACATCCTCTCTCGTTAATGGAGTTTCTATTTTTCCTTTACGGAGCCCTAACTACCTCTTTTATGCAGTCAATATCCTTCTTTCGCATGGAGTCTCACTAGTGCTTCCAAATCATTAGGAAATGATGCATCTGGTCGGTTAAATCTAGTAAGTGGGTGGAGTAACTCAATGCTCTTTCCTCACATCTATATCTTCTCCTACCAAACTCTTGCAACCTCAAATAAGGGTAAGAATGCTCTGCTAGCCAAATCCACCTACAACATGAACTAACCTTATGAATGTTCCTACATCCCATCTTCATTTACTCCTTCCAAACTTCTACAACCTCCCATTTATTGATAGATTGTACTACTGCCCAAATCTAACAATAAAACCCTTTATACATCTACCTACCATGACCTGTCTTCTGATCCCATCTTGTTCTTCTGTCACATGCCTTCAACCTTAGCCGCTTACAGGAAAAAAAACTCTTAGTAAATTGGATAAAATGAATCTCCTTACTCATGGAAAAAAAGAACATAGAATCTAAAAAAGGAGCTACCAAATCAACCATTTTTCCCCAAAACCATACGAAACTAGTTCCCTACGTCTCATTTCTAAAATCCTACTACCCCTTCTATCACCTACCCAATCCTCTCGCCCCTCCCAAACCCAACATCCCAAGCAAACCTTTTTTCTTTCTTAAATGGATTTTGAGATGATATCTAGAACCTTATAAATTGAACCCAAAACTTTCCAGTTACCCATCCTCTTCTCAACCTTACTTACAACCATGAGATTACAGCCAAATGCCATAAAATCTCTCTTGTTGGCAAACTTTTACTTGACAAGGCAATCTCTAACCACCGTATATGAAGCAATGTAAAATGATCAGGCAAACTTAGAGGAGATGTCAAGGTGACGTAATATGGTGACCTGTATACCTTATTTGATGAAATAGAAAGAAAAAAAAGCGATGGAAAAGAAGAGGCCATGCCACATTTTCCAAACCTTCCTCATCTTAAGAGACCGGAGCAACTTTAGAAGACCAATGGATATTAAAACATCTACAACCAATATTGGGGTTCAAATCTGGGGCCTTGCTCCTAAACATAGAGGCTATATTAATTTTATGAACATCGGAAGCCTTTTTGTGAACGTGTATACTATTAAAATATAAGAAGGGAAATGATGGAGTTTGATAACTCAATCTGGATGGTTGGTGATTATTAGTGTAGATAAGCTGCTTCCTCAAGGATTCCAATTCAGAGATCATGTCGATGAGGTGGAGTTTAGGTATGAAAAGTGACTTGATTTTCTGTTATGAATGTGGGAAACTGGTGGAGATGAAAATAACTTTTCCTTTTCCATGTTGGATTAGGTTATACACGTTTTGGCCCTGGTAAGTAACCTTTTTGTACCTCACATTGTATGTGATTATACACGTTTGCTTGTCTGTTTTGGGCCTGATTGATACCTTTTCTTTTTCAGGTTGGATTAAGTTTAACCATATGGAGAAGGGACTATAAATACCGTCTTAATCGTTGTAATCTACATTTACTCAAGTATAGTGAAACTAGTTATCTCATGCCAGTGGACTAGTTAGCACACATTATGTTAGTGAAACTAGCTCTCTCCTGTCAAGGGTACTATGGTCAATATGAAAATTGGCAGAAAGAAAAACCCGTGTGAGAACATTAAATGAGAAATGAGGTGTGTTAATTGGGGAGAACAAAATTTAAGGGGTTTTTTGCTTCATAAATTTAAAACTAAAGGTTTTGTGATTTACAAACGGAATGATTCATCAAACATTTGTAGTATGTTCCAAAACCTACCTCACCACTTGGAATTTACAAGGGTCCAAATCCGGCTTTGGTAAAAAAAAGGCAATATACACTTGTATGCCCAAAAATTTCGTGTTTGTGCCAATAATAGCAAAATTTGGCGAAATACCAGCTATAGTCTCCTTTTAAAGTTGTTGGAGGACAAATATAGTCATTTCCGTTAGAAACTTTAATAATGTTAATAACACCATCAACTTATTTGACGGTTCGCTGACTAGGCGCCAACTTAGCGGACACGTCAGCACCAAATAAGTAAATAGTGACACGTATGATATTTAAATTATTTATTATTTACAAAATTAATTTTTTTACCCTTATAATCCCCATCCGCTTCGCTCGAGTCACGACCCTTATTCCCAACTTTTACCCGATTACGAAATTTGGGTTCTTCCCCAAATCCTCCTCCCCATTTGGCGATTACTCCTCCCCATTCTCTGCAGATTCGCGACCCTTGGATTTGGCGATTACTCCTGCCCAGAACTTCAAGCGGCGATTCCTCAACTTCGACTAACATCAAAAGTGAGCATCCATTCCGGCTCTCACTACGGTGGCTCCTCCCGCTGCGAACCCACCTCCGGCGACCAAAGTTGTCCGAAAGAGAATCCTCTTATGGGTCTTCGAGCCAACAATCCCTCTTTTCAGGCAAAGAAGTTCCACCTAGACGCCTCTCTCAACGGAGAAGAAACCCCGAGCCGATACTGAGGCGACAATGGAGGGATGAAAATCCCAGTTGCCTGACAATCGATTGGAAAAGGGATTCATGACCCACAAATCTCAATATGCAAAGCTCGAATTCTGAGGCACGGTGCAAAATCTAGAGGCCGAACACGGATCCGAGCCTGATTCTGAGTAAACACAAGGGTATCCGATAGATCGGCTAGCCGTGGAACTTTGCCGACCGGATCCGCTTCAGCCTCGGTCTCCTCATTTCTCCCTTTCTTTTCTGTAGAGTCCTGGGGCAATGGTGCGTCGAGCTTTCCTTTTTCCCGTTCGAATCCAACAACGATTTGGGTGCAAATCTCTATTTGACGGAGGCGGGTCACTAATCTAGAATCGAGAGGTACAGAGAGGCTGACAGATATAATGCAACCTGGCAAGGGGAGTGATGGTGAGTGGTGTTGTCAGCGGCTGCGGTGAAGGTTGGGAGGGCAATAGGACGAAAAGAAAGAAGGGATCACACATCATTCATTTTTGTTTTATTGATTTGTTTACTTTCATTTTAGTTTTCACAAATCAAAATAACCTTTTGAAATTTTAATATTCTATTTTGAATCTTATTCATTCATCTACGTGGAAATGTTGCAGACAAAATATTGTTACGTAAGCTTTTCCGTTAGTCTAGTCAGCTTGTTAACTGACATCGTTAAAGAACTGGACGAAAGTGACTATAATTGGTATTTCTCCAAATGTAGCTATTATTGTCACAAACACGAAAGTTTTAACTATACAAATGTAAATTGTCTAAAAAATGGCTTAATTTCAAGTTTGGTCACTCGAATTGCTACAAAATTTCACGTTTGGTCACTAAAATTGGTTTATTCCATTAGTAGTCACTTGAATTAGTTGAACAGTTCAAGTTTGGTCACTCTCCATTAACCTCGGTTAGACTCCGTTAATGATGACCGTTAAGTGATGACGTGGCTAACAGAAAATCACAGTCAACATATTTTAACCCTAAAAAATGACTACCCGACCCGCCACATCAGATTTGCCCGCCATGTCACCATTCCCTACCCAACCCGCAAACCAACCCAATAATCGACCCAACCCCAAACCTGACCCCCTGTATATGAAAAGTAAAATCGAAACAGGAAAGGGTAGGTCACTTTCCATTCTCCATCGTCCTCTCATCCTCCATCGTTTCGCTGTGGCAGGAGCAATGATTCATTGCCCGATAACAGTAATCATGCCTATTTTCCCAGAGATCAACACAATTGGGGACCAAATCAGGCTCAGAAGGTCCAGTAGAAACAACTTCCATTCCCATAATCTTCATATCAGCTAGACCCAACAACACCAGCCGAAACAGATCCCAACCCACAACTCTCTCGCCCTCCCAAATCCACCACCATCTCTTCCCTCTTCATCTCCCCATTCTCCGCCAACTCAAGCGAACCCACCACAATCACCATCGCCAACACCAGTACTGTCTGCGGCAAGGAGAAGGGAACCGATGCATTCAAAGACTTGGGATGCGCTGCTGGGGCTGCCCGTCAGGTGTCTGTCCCGGCAGTGATAAGGTCATTGGCGGAGTGGGATGGAAAGAAAGTAAAGAAGAAGATGAAGAAAAAAGCTGTGGTTGCGTCTCCTGGAACACCCCCGCCACCACCGCAGCAGAGGAGGAAGATGAGCAAGCAGCATGGGGTTGTCGATTTTACTTTTCAGATTCAGGGGGGTCAGGTTTGGGGGTTGAGTCGATTATTGGGTTGGTTTGCGGGTTGGGTAGGGAAGGGTGACATGGCGGGCAAATCTGACGTGGCGGGTTGGGTAGTCATTTTTTAGGGTTAAAATATGCTGACTGTGATTTTCTGTTAGCCACGTCATCACTTAACGGTCGTCATTAACGGAGTCTAACGGAGAGTGACCGAACTTGAACTGTTCAACTAATTTAAGTGACTACTAATGGAATAAACCAATTTTAGTGATCAAACATAAAATTTTGTAGTAATTCAAGTGATCAAACTTGTCATTAAGAAAAAAATAAAAAATAAAACAAAGAATGAACTTCTATTAAATCCATGATAATCATCCATCTGACATCTCTCAAATAAAAACACTCAAATAAAAACACGACCCTTAAACCAGAAATAGAAGAACGAAAAAAAAACCCCATAAAACTCTTTTTTCGGTCGGTTAACGGGTTAAGTAGCAACTCGGACGGAGGAGAAAAGGGGGAAAAGAGGAGCGCGGAATTTAAGCAATACACCGCAGAGCTGCGGCTGTCGTCTCCGCTTGTTCGAGACAGCAACCCTAGGAAAAAGTACTGATAAGAGGCAATTGAGATCAAGGGAGAATCGCGGGAGGCCGAGCTTTAGCCCTCACTGCTTCCGCGCATCGCGACGCACGTGTTTCTGGTACTCGAACATCGTAGTATAGCGCCATGAGCGAGGTAACTTATCTGAACTCGTGAAGAGAGAGAAGGAAACCTCGAGATCGAGAGTCGATTAGGTAAAAGTCGACGGGACATTTGGGCGTGGAAGAATAGGACGTACTCTCTGGCCTCCGATCATTATCTCTGGTAGCTGCCTTGTTTTTTCGTTGCACTGTTGCTACTGCTGTTCTTCCTGACCTGAAAAGAAGAGGATATTATAGGTAAGCTCCTTCTTGGTTTCGCCCCGAGAGATAATGCTTCCAAAGTGAATTTCATTGGTTTCTTTGCTCATATCATGGTTCGTTTTCGTTGCGGGAGCTGAGCTCTCTTCTATTGCTTTTCATATTGTTGAAAGCTTGTCTGACGAAAGTTTGAAGTATGGTTAAGGTAGAACGCAATGGCACTCGTTACTCGTAGTATGGCTTTATGGATTCCCAGCTTTACCGACATGTTTCTCATACTGTAGTTTACCTTTTTGAATCCTTATTTCAGTGTGCCTCCTAATTCTTATGGCCTTTGGCTTTGAGGTAGCTATCAAACTAGTTAGTTTGTTTATTAGGTAGGAATCTTGTTAGAGCTTGATGTTAAACGCCGAAACACTTTTTTTTAAATTGCCTCTGTATAATGGTTTTGATTTTTTAGTAACCTGCCATTACTGTGTATGGTCTGTGTGGATGTTTCAACCTTCAAATTCAATTCATAATTTCTTTGTCTGTGGTTTCTACTGAGCTGCAATGAAAATTGGTTTCTTTTTTCCAGGATAAACAATTGGTGAATTGACATTTTTGTTTGATTTCAGTTGTAACAATGGATGAGAGGCATCTTGAAACTAGGCATGATCGTCGTGAAGAGAGGGCTGATCCTGATGATTCTCCAAGAGTAGTTGATGATTTGGGGCTAAATGGAGCTGAAAAGTCTAGCAAGCATTCTGGGAGAGAGAAGGACAGGAAGAGAAGTACCAGAGGAGATGACAAAGACAAAGACAAGGATCATAGAGCGAAAGACAGAGATAGATCTAGGAAGAATAGGGATGATGTTTCATCCGAGAAGTTCACTGAGCAAGGCAAAGATAGGAGCAAGGATGTCAAGGCAAAGGATAAAGATCACGATCAGGACAAATCTAGAGAGAAGGAGCGTGAACGAGATAAAGATAAGGATAAAAAGGACCGAGGGAAGGAAAAGGATAGAGAAAGGGAGAGAGAGACTGATAAAGAGAGGGGCAATGAGAAGACTAGGGAAAGGGACCGAGCAAAGGATAAGGAAAGAGAGAAAGTGAATGAAAAGCCTAAGGATCGAGATAAGCCAAAAGAAAATGAGAAAGATGGGGAGAAAGATAAGGGACGAGAGAAGACTAAAGAAAGAGAATTACACCAAGGTAAAGATCGGTCAAGGGATAGGGATGGAAGCAAAGATGACCTGCGAGAAGATCTTGGGAGGCCCAAGGATGATAGAATTCCAGTGGACCGGGGACATGATGGACATAGAGGAAAAGTGACTTTCCGTGAGGAAGAGCAGCAAAATGATGATCGCTCTTCCAGTGGAGGACACACATCAACATCTGCACTTAGGGAGCGTATTATGAAGTAAGTAACTTGATTCATTGACCCATTATGTTAATCCTTGCGTTCCTTTTCTTTGCTATTCAATCTGGCAAAGCAATTTAAAATGTCATTGGTGAGCTGATTTTCCTGTGTACCGTATGGTTGATAAGTGGTTAGTACTGCATTCTAGCAATACACTAGAGTGTAAGGTTTTCTTGTTTTTGCATCAGTTTACTTCTTTTAGAAAGTTCTCACAGCTTTTCCTTTCTCCTTCAACTAGTAATCAATGTTATTTATTTCTTGCATGACTTAGAATGAAAGAAGAAAGAACTAGGAAAACAGATACTGGTTCAGAAATCCTGTCTTGGGTCAGCAGTAACCGTAAGCTCGAGGAGAAAAGGAATGCTGCAAAGGAAAAAGCCAAGCGGCTGTCAAAAATTTTCGAGGAGCAGGTTCTTTTGTTGATTTTGCATCATGAATTACTCCCTGTTTGTATCGTCTTTTTTTAATCTTCTTGCCTGACAAGGATTCACGACCTTTTCTCAGGATAACATTGGCGGAGAAGGAAATGACGGTGAAGACCATTCACGTACGATCTTTTTCTTTATTTAATCTTACCCCTCAAAAGAAGTTGCTGTTTATACAAGTGCTTTTGTCTGTGATCGAGTTGCTTGTCCGGAGATACTTGTTCTGCCATAATACTTATAGATGTTATATCTGTTATGAATCCATATATTGAACATGGAAAATATGGAGAATAAATATGAAGCATCCTTACAGGTCATGTATTGAAATTTGCTTGTGCTCTGTTGAATGAGATTGTTTATAGGGTACTTGTTCAGTCTTGTAGGTAGGTGTAATTCTGAGTTGTTTGCTTCATTCTCATTTCCTCCCTGTTTGTTTTAGATTCTGAACAATGCTAGGAGTTTCATATCTTGAAAGCCTTTCACCGATGTTCCTAGTGCTGCATTATCATAACAGTTTACTTATAGTAATGATTGCAACTTGACAGATGATTTAGCTGGAGTTAAAGTCCTAGATGGCCTTGACAAGGTAATAGAAGGTGGAGCAGTTGTTTTGACTCTTAAAGATCAGAGTATTCTTGCTGATGGCGATATCAATGATGGTAAATGCTGATTGAATTGTCATGTTCCTCTGCTTTATGTTAAGAATACAAATTGACATATTGAGTTCTGTGTAACAGAGGTTTTTGGTCTAATTTGACAGAGGTCGATATGCTTGAAAATATCGAAATTGGGGAGCAGAAGCGCCGAAATGAGGCGTACAAGGCTGCGAAGAAGCCAAAGGGAACCTATGATGACAAGTAAGTGGAATGCTTCTTTAGCTACTCATTGAATAGTTTAACGTGTAGACACATTGCTAACCTTTTTATACCTTGAAGGTTCAATGACGACCTTATGGCTGAGAAAAAGATGCTTCCTCAATACGATGAACCAGAAGATGAGGTATGAATGTGATGTTTCAACTTGGTTTTTAGTTTTCTTTTTCAACTCCAACGATCCGCTTCCTCCCTAGATAAGAGAAAAGTTCTGCAATAGAAGTAGATTTCTAACCTTGGTTCTTATTTCAGGGACTTACTTTGGATGGTAGGGGACATTTCAGTGGCGAAGCAGAGAAAAAACTGGAGGAGGTATATTCTTTCCTACTATTATAAAGGTGGTAGGAGACTATTGAAAAGGACGCTGTCCTGCCATTATTTTCTGTTTTGTTTACTAGCTTTACTTTATTGTCTTTCCAGTTGCGTAGGAGACTACAAGGTGGTTCCACTAATAATCGTACAGAAGATCTGAACTCATCAGGAAGAATCTCGTCTGATTACTATACTCAAGATGAAATGGTTCAGTTTAAGAAGCCAAAGAAAAAGAAATCCCTGAGGAAGAAGGATAAGTTGGATATAAATGCTCTTGAAGCAGAAGCCATCTCCACAGGGTTAGGCACTGGTGATCTTGGTTCTAGGAGTGACAGTAGAAGGAAGGCCAGAGAAGAGCAAGAGAGATCTGAGGCAGAAAACAGAAATGCTGCATATCAGTTAGCTTTAGCAAAAGCAGAGGAAGCATCTAAAGCATTACGATTAGGACAAACAGTTTCTGCTGTTGCTGATGAGGAAGCCAATGATATGGGTATGGACGAGGATGAAGACGATTATCTCCACAAATCTGTTGAAAGAGCAAGAAAGTTGGCTCTGAAAAAACAAGAGAAGGCTCTAGTTGGCCCTGAAGCAATTGCTCGGCTTGCCACCACCATTAAGAACAGTATGACAGCTGATGAGCAAAACCCTGCAACTGAAGAATCACAAGAAGGCAAGGTTGTCTTCACTGAGATTGAAGAGTTTGTTTGGGGTCTGCAGCTTGATGAAGGTATTTCCTCCGTTCTGAAGCTTTTAGAATCAAGGAGTCGATGAAGTTTTATTGCTTTGTCGTTTCTGGGAATCTCCTTTTGTTTTAGCTTCACTTTGTTTGTCCTCTTCCTTACTTTCTTGTTTCATTTATTTATGTACTTTGCTGATATGGGAACCAACAAACTTCCTTTGATCCTTCAGATGCCCACAAGGCCGATGCCGAAGATGTTTTCAATGATGAAGATGATGCAGCAGTAGCTACTCATGAGCATATGGAAGTTAAGGCCGGTGGGTTGCCCGAAGTAAATGAGACAGTTAAAGATGAAGACACTACGATGGAGGATGCAAAAGAGGTAGCTCCAGATGAGATAATTCATGAAGTTCCTGTTGGTAGAGGTTTATCAGGTGTATTGAAGCTGCTCCACGAGCGAGGGTCCCTGAAAGAAAGCATTGACTGGGGTGGTAGAAATATGGATAAGAAAAAGAGCAAGCTTGTTGGCATTGTAGACACTGATGACGCGAAGGACAAGGACAAGGACAAGGAGAAGAATAAGGATAAGGATAACGACCGGTTTAAGGATCTTCGTATTGAGAGGAGAGATGAATTTGGGAGAATCGTAAGTTCGCTTGTTGTTCTCTGTTCAAGCTTTTGAGGTGTCGTTTCACTTTACTCTTGATGTTTGCATTCTGCTAAGTTGGAAACCCAATTCAGCTTTTGGAAGCATTTCTCTGCATGCCTGTCTTCTATCTCCCTTTAGTGATTGGTTGAGGGGCTTGGTATTTTCCTTGTTGAAGATAAATATCTCTTCTTGTCCTACCTATTTATCTTGCTTGAGATCATAGGCTAGGAGTTGCCATTTGAATGGACTTGACTTGTTCTGCTAGAAACATAGTAGAGAAACAATTAGGCGTCTTGTTTCAAATCACTGTTATTTTACCATGCTATTTCAATAATTGAATATCAACTTGATTCGCGCCTTTTCTATATTTTCACTTTTATTTCAATATCCTGACCAATTTTCAATGAAATATCAGATGACACCGAAAGAGGCATTTAGGAAGATCTCTCATACATTCCATGGCAAGGCCCCTGGGAAAATGAAGCAAGAAAAGCGGATGAAGCAATATCAGGAAGAACAGAAGTTGAAGCAAATGAAGAATTCAGATACACCTTCATTGTCCGTGGAGAGGATGAGGGAAGCTCAGGCGCAGCTACAGACACCATACCTCGTTCTTAGTGGTCATGTGAGACCTGGGTATGATTCTACTATCTTCTCCTCTCTGCCTGTCTTTCTCCTATTAGATTAAAGTTAGAAAGATCTCAGAGCAGTGTAATAGAAGCATTTCTTAGTTGACATGATGATTGTTAGCACATTGGTTAGGGAATTAATTTTTCTCTATAACAATTTTTTTTTGATGGTTTCTATAACAAATTCATTGCAGGCAAACAAGCGATCCAAGGAGTGGTTTTGCAACGGTAGAAAAGGAGTTTCCTGGGGGATTGACTCCAATGCTTGGTGACAAAAAGGTCAGTCAGCATTTGTGATTAAGAGTAGTCTAATCTTCAAGTATAAAGTTGCTGCTGCCTCTTACTCTGCCATGTTGCAGTAATGGCCTTTGCATCCAAATCTAATGGTAAATATTTTTTTTTTAATCAATTGGCTCAGGTTGAGCATTTCCTGGGGATAAAACGCAAGCCTGAGCACCGGGATGACAGCGCGCCAAAGAAGCCCAGAACTTAAACAAACTTCCATCTCTTGCTGCTACATTACGTACCAGTCTAGTAGAGAGAAGTCTCTCGTCAGAGTATGACCCGGTTATTGCTCGCTGTTTTCTCTTATGACTTTAAACATGTTATGATTACCAGTGAATTCTGAAAGTTCAGTTGCACCAAATTTTTGCAGAGATGGGATGGTATTTGGGTAAACTTTGCTGATACTGTTGTCTGCAGTGCCCATAGGCAATGTTGCTGCAGTAAATACTAAATAGTAAGTTTCAACTGAAAGATTTTTTGTTCTTTCCCCGTCTCAAATTGCTTTATTTTGCCTGGTATTTGAGCTTTGCTGATACTGAGGTGTGGCCCTGTGGGAGTGAGATTCTCTGGCTGCTGATGCGGCCGAATTCATCGAGCTAGCTTAGTTCTGTTTGATGTTTCCACAACGTGCTGCTCAATAGGTCATAGTGTTGAATCTGTGGTGGATAATTAGGCAAAGTCTATCAAGTTCTATCTTGTGCATTATTTTAGCATTCGACACCATCAATAGTGAATATAGAGGTTACTAACAAGTGGCTGCAAAGTCGTCATCCCACTTTGATCAGTGGTGCTGTACTAATGTCGTCTTTCCCACTAGGGGTTGCATCCAATTTCCTCCACTTTCTAAGGTCCTCCCTGTAGGAATGCTGACAAACAAAGGAAATCCTATATCTAGGAGGGTTGTTACATTTTAGCCTTTCAATCTGGATTTCTGTTTTATGGACAGGACAGGTCGAAGTTGGAAATTACTTGCAGTTGTCAAATTGTGTGTTTTGCTTCTTTTCAAGTTTTGGTTTCAGTTGCTTTCTTTTCCCTGTTTTCAGAGTGACCTAATGTCGTTGGTACATTTTATTAAATAATTTCTGCTTCCTACTCGAATGGATATAGATATATGGTGCACTTGGTATGGACCTTTAGCCTAAAATAGATTGTAATTATCTAAAATAGATTGTAATTATCAATTAATATCACAGTTGCAGGAGCACTTCTACTATGCTATATAGTATTGGTGCTTTAATGTACTAATTTTAAGTTGTAGCATAACATCAAATGTATAAGTTTAAATTGTACCATAAAATAATTTGTACCATTATGTTATGGTACAAGTTCAAGTTGTACCATAAAAGAATTTGTACAAAAAGTATAGGTACAATTTGAAGTTGTACCATAAACGCAAAACTCTATAGCACCAATACTATATAACATTGCAAAATTTCTCACTGTTGCAGTATTCGTATAGTGTAACGATATAATGTAGAGCCAGGAGGGGGTTTGAAATTACATGTAAAATTTGTAACAATGTTAGGGAATACAAAAGTCGGTAAGGTTAGTTTCCCCTTTCAATTATCACGGTTCAAGTCAGTTTTTCTTCATTTAGATTCCTGGGTCCGGCACCGAATTAAAGTTAAATTATACATTTTTTGGTCATTAACAAATTAGTGTTCTGATTTTTTTTTTTGTGAAAATTCATGTAGTTTTCTTGTTTACAAATTGTAGATTGAGTTAGTTTTGAAATGAATCGAATCGAGGAAAAGCAAATATCATAATACCCAAGTGTTAAGACTTAGTCAACTGATGGGTCATGGCTTAACGTCGTACGCTTTGAATCCCAAAGTCGTCGAAGTATCACGATGACTCGAACTTGAATGGGTTAGGCCCAATCACACCAAATCGAATCGATGTTTAGATCGGACCACACCGAATCAAATATAATATGGTCCGGTCTTTGGTTTCATGAATTTTATAAACACTAAAAAAAAATGGACCGAATTGACATTTGGACCGGACTAAAGAAGACCAAATCGGACCGAATGCAGTATTGGTCCAGTACTCGGTTCTAAGTTATCTTTCATATGGACTCACGATAATCTTTACTCTTTGGTGACACGTGGTTGAGAATGAAGGAGGAGACGGGTTTCTCAAAATTAGGGTTGAGACTTGGGTTTCGTTGGGAGAGAATAGTCAAATGGGCTGCTAACACGTATTCCTTTCTCGACTGGGTCCACGATTTGTTCCGATAAATAGTAGACTAGACCAAACCAGACCAAGAGGTCAAAACATCATATAATACAGACCATGGACCAGACCGGACCATTCTTAACGGTCTACGATCCGAACCAAATTGTGTAGTTTTCAAACAGACCATGGACCAGACCGGACCATTCTTAACGGTCTACGATCCGAACCAAATTGTGTAGTCTGATTTGGTCTATTTTCCTGGTCCTACACTACATATAAAGAAATACCAACATAATAAGATCACTATTAGAAGAAATTTTTTTAGATATGGGTTTGGTAGAGAGATGAATCACCTGAATGTCGTAGGAAAGGATTAAGAGGTGTTGACAGTCTGTCAGTGAGGGAGGAACATGGAAAGGGTGTGGGCCTTGCCCCAATTCATTTTGTGCAGAGGAGGAACTGGGTTGCCTTTTGGATGTAGTGTTAGGAGAGCATGGGAAGGTCGGAGGCAGAAAGCTTGAGGTCAGCCATGGTGGATTTCTGGTCGGGGATGACGGGGAATTTGAGGAGTTTTTTGGAGATCGGATTCCCTCTATAGATGGAGAACGAGGCAGAGAGAGGAGGAGGCGGAGGATGGAAGGGTCATATACAGAAGGAAGGATGGTGATCACATGATGGAAGGGTCTTTTTTGTTTTCACAAATATCCCAAAGCCAATCTCGACTGTCATTTTGAAAAAAAGGAGGAAATAGAGGGCGGATTGCTTTGTTGTCTCATTGCAAACCCCTTGGTGTTTTACAAGGGATTTGCATGGTAACATAATCATTTGTTACTCGATTTTGGTTGTTGGATTCGGAGTTTGTGTGAGATTTGGCCAAAAGTTAATGGTTCGACAATTGAAACAAATGTGGCATCCAATTGGAGGGCTAGTTGAATAGGAGGAAAGTAGGCTTGCAAATGAGCCGAGTCGAGTCGAGTTTTATCCCAGTTTGAGTTCGGCTCGTTAATAAACGAGTCGAGCTCGAGCTCAGCTCGTTTGTTAACGAGTCGAGTCGAGTCGAGCTCGAGCTAGCTTGTTTATTAAAATCTTAACTTTCATTTGGTACTTCATTTTGTATATCATGATACATATGATTAATTTTGTTAGTTAATCTCATCTTATACTTTATACTTAGTTGGTATCATACATCGTTTAGTTAATAAATTTTAACTACTCCAAATCATGTTATTTTATTGTATCGAAGCAATCTATGGTGCATAATTTCTTTTTAAAGTAGAAAATAAGATATATTTGCTCACATACTCAACGTCAAAACTTTATATATGGTGAGATATATAAATTAACAACCATATGAATTAAAATCATAAGATATAGATTGATTCGTCCATAAGTTGGTAATCGAGTTGGCTCTCTAGCCACATGTTAAGACATATCATGAGCTCTAAACGAGTCAGCTCACGAGTTTAGCTTAACAAGTCACCGAGTCGAGCTAGCTTGCGAGCTTCACAAGCTGAACAAAAGTGAGCTCTCGGCTCGTTTCTTAACGAGTAGAGTTTCGAACGAGTTTTTCTCGAGTCGAACGCCGAGCAGCTCGCGAGCAGTTCGGCTCATTTGCAGCCCTAGAGGAAAGTCATTTGGTTTTCACTATTTGAGTATGTGAAAACTCAGCTAAATATGTGAGATTTGGCAACTCAACATGCAATACGTCAATAGTATTACTATTACTCTTTTGGAATTCGTAAAAACAATTTAAGTGAGAGTAATAAACCGTATTCAATTTCTATAACCATAAATTCGACTTGGACTACATTACTACAAGTGGCACACAAAACCCTTTCTCTATTATTTTATCCATCTCATTTCTTGGGTTGTGGGAAGGGTAGAGCATAGATTTCTGGTAAATACAAATAGGCTCGCTACAACAACAACGACAACAACAACAATCAGGGATCAAAGCAAACGCCAAAAGGAAGACGTACGTAATATGACTAATGATCGCAAGCAAGAACAAACAAAAACGGTTTGACAGATTCCAACCGAAAGCCCATCACTGTAAGGATATGATCCAAAAGCTAGCTCAGCAAATCGCAACAAAGCAAGCAAGACAACCAGACAAAGGGGGAAAAGGAAAAGCTATATTCTTCTTCCATTTACATTCATCTCCTTTACCAACCAATCGAAATCCGGCTGTTTCCACCATTAACGTGGGACTAGCATTAGACACCTAGCTAATCCACCTATCTACTCTAAACCCCGCCGGCGCCGGCGGCCGTCCCCCATTCGCAACCCGGCAATTCCTCCTCACTTCCCCTGGCCTCCCTGACTGCAAATCCCCCATCTTCACCATCCCTTCTACGAACGCCCGGAAAAACTCCTCCTCGTCCCGGCTGTACCGCTCCACGTACCTCCTCGTCGCCGGAAAAGTGTACAGCGTCTGATCGGAGTTCAGGAACCCTCTCCCGCCGACCAAATCCCTGAAGTACGCGTTGTCGAACACCACGGGGGTGGAATCCAGCCCCACCGTCACGTTGTCGTCGCCGCCCATCGGGCACAGATCCATCAGCTTTTCCCGGAAATGCGGCTCGATCGCCGGGTCGGGCCGGCCCGACCCGGACTGGTTGTAGAGGCGGAACTGGATGGAAAAGCAGCGGCCTTTGCCGATGGAGTGGGAGCCAGAGAGGGCCACGAGGTCCTTCACGGAGAGGTTGTAGCGGGCGAAGAGGTCGATCAGCATCGTGGCGTTGGCCCGTGGGCTCGGCATGATCGCGTCGGCGTCGGCCTGGCTCGCCGTCAGGCTGTCCAGCCGGCCCAGCTTCACTTCCCAGTTCGGCCCACCCGTCTAATTCACGAAAACAGAGTACAAAGAAAAACAGAGGATTCAAAAAACAGAGGACAATTGGAATCAAATTATCAGTAGAATCCGATGGAACCGAAGGAAAAGTTGTTTTTACCAGGGAAACAGCGTCGCGAGAAGCCATGATGATGATATCGGCGCAGGAGACCACGCCGGGGCAAGCTTTCTCGAGCTCGGCCTTGATATCGTCGACGACCTCGTATGACCGGAGGGAATCGATGTTGGAGAGGGAGAGCTTTTCCCCAAGCATGGTGTCTGTGTCATCCATCAGCATTGAACCATCGCATCCCTGTTGGGAAAAATAGATCAATTCATTTCAATCCTTAGTTTACAGAGCAAAAAAAAGAAACAGAGTGTTTTTAGTTTTGTTGTTACATTGACGAAGCAGTCGTGGAACTGGAAGCGCATAACGGAGGCAGCGCTTCGTGGGTCTGAGAGGAGTGACTTTTTCATGACTTCCCTGACGATGAACTCGGCGGGAGGGCAGGTGGCGGAGTAGTATCCGCGGCGGAGGGGAGCCGCCGCAGGTGATGAGGTGGTGGTGGTGATTAGCAGGAGAAACGCGAGTGACGAGAAGAGAAGGGACATGTTGGTGGTTGTGGGGGGGATTATGAATTCACTTGGTCAGTTGTTTTTGGAGGGCTGGAGGTTGAGAGAGAGGCGTGAGTGAGAGTGAGAGTGAGAGTGGAAAGGGAAAGCCAGAGGGGCAAGCAACTACTACTCCTCTGCTTTTTTTTGTGTGTGAATAGACCAGCAGGGGAAGGAAGAAGGGAGAGCTTTTATAAGCAACATTTAGTGATAGTGGGGATGTGGGCACTATCGAAACCAATTGGGAGGGGGGAATGAATGAATGAATGACTGACTTTACGTTACATACTAGACAATAAACTCTTTTCCTTATCACCTTGTTGACATTTGTTCCATCCATGGAATGGAATAAAGGAATTGGTTATGGCGTTGGCGTATGGGGAGAATTGCAGCGAAAACAGAGCACTTTATCTTTCTTTTTTTTTTCTGACAGAGGAGCGAATTGAAAGGTTACACTTTTCGATTTGTTAATGGTGGCTTAGTGCTTTGTTATCTACGACAGGGGAGGGAGTGTGAAATGATGTTGTAATTGAATTTTTTCCTTCCACAAAAACAGTTTCGCGTGATTGTATTTCTCGTCGCCTCCCTTTAACATGATTCACTACGACCTTTGACTCGATATATTAAATTCCAGTTTCTTTTGGTTACTGAGTTGCAGGTGATGATTGATTTTTGCTGCTTGTTGGTGTCCAACGGAGGTCGTGGGAACATTGAAATGGTACTTGAAGAGGTTGTTCCGGATACTGAAATGGTGTCCTTGTATTTAGTGGTTTGGTTAAAAGTCATTCTCATCAAATGAAAGCCATGAGACAAAGGCTAATATTGAGTAGTGGGGTTTTTTTTTTATATGGGAATATGGAGTATTGTGAGGATTTGAAATGGTGGTTAAAGAGGCTGTTTTGTACACTGAAATGGTGTCCTTGTATTTAGTGGTTTGATTAAAATCCCTCTTCCCCTCAAACAAGAGACAATATATGTGCTTCAAGTTTTCACATGCTCGACATACCATGCGCTTTAAGATAACAGTTAATATTGAGGGTAATGAGTATTAGAACACATGGTATCAAGGACAAACCAACTCCGTTTCCATGTCATGAACCAGTTGGTCCCAACAACTCGAGTTGTTGGGAGAAAGTTATTACGGATCTTGCCTTATACTTTGAAAGTAGCTGTTTATATTGAGGGTTGTGGAGATTCAAACATACGACCACTTGGCTAAACCAACTCTAATACCATGTCATAAACTAACAAATCTCAATAATTCAAGTTGATAAAAAGTTGCATATATGGTACTTATACCACTTTCTTACATGGGTAATGTTGGTAGTAGTTAGTAGGTTTTTCTTTTATTAAGGCTTGATATTAAAGCAAGTGTACATATATTCCCTTCCTGTACATATGCACATTTATCGGTTGAAATGGTTGATTTATGGGTGGAAATCAGTAGGGTATCGATATCCTAATATCAAATATTGAAATTCCAAATATCGAATTTCCCTGTAAAATCAATTCCAATTCCAATCCCTAAATATTTTGCTATCCCAATTGGTATTTCGGTATCCCAATCGGTATTATCGAATACAAAATGAATTACCTCTGCAATTAATAATTAAATATATCAATTTAATTTTATTGTTTAATTTAGGGTAAAGAGACTGAGTAAAGAGTATTGAGTACGCCTAAAGCTAGGACATGTATAGAGAGAATGAAGGAGAGGTGACAACTCAAGTTCTTGTCATTGGTAAACTTTAATTCGACAAATTGGAGGTTGAGAGGACGACTAATAATAACGTTTTATTTTTTATGTTATGAAAATAACAAGAGATTTGATGAGAGGCAAGAGTGAAATATACAGGAAAGCCAAAATTGAGTTGGATGGGAACTTTTGAGTTATGAAACAGTGGGGAATGACCAAAAGGTTGTGTACTATATTTCATAAATTTTTAATTTTTGTTGTTTCTCCGTATATTTTGGTATATACCGATCCCAATCCCGTAATCCCGAATACCAAATAAAACTCCAAAATGAATTCCAATCCCGATCCCTAAAAAATAAATCGATGTTCGATTATACCAAATAGTGATAAGTTCAGCACGAGATATCGCAAATACCGGTACCAAACTTCCTACTTTAGATCTCGATCTGATATCTTATTTTTTTAACAATTAAGATCGAGGTATACAACAACGAGCTAATGTATTAACAAGATGTCACATTGAAATTAATTCTACAATTGAGGATATGTAATTGGGATGGTCAGAACAAACCAAAAAATGCAGGTAGTATAATCTCGACCTTGTTTAACTAATAATCTACGATGAAATATCCAACATGTATGATAGAGATGGGTAGTCCACATATCACTAAAACAAGAAGATTATATCAGAAGTGAAGCATGCAATTTTATCATTTGCTTCTTGAGTTTCACTACATATCTTAGTCGAACTAAGATTTAAATGAACATAATATGCATCTTAAGGGCGCCTCATAGAATTTTAAGGCCTTTTGTTTTGGTTAATGTTTATCTACTTACAATATTTCAATATTAAGCCTCGGAGCTATTCTTTGTTTTCGTAACAGAACCGGATGTCGAAGTGCAAAAATCAGTGATTTATGATTTAGTGGTTAACTGTTATAGTGGTTAACTGTTATAGAATAATTGGTTAAACATTGATGATAAAAGATAATATATATGGTGGTGTATTCGGCGCACCCACTTTTTTGGGTGCACTCAGTACACCCGTCTCATAATCATCATTATGAATACGCGATTCATGTCAAAACGGTATCAATTGTTGCTTATGATATTATGAACAAGAAGCACATGAATTTGGAAAAAAATCATTTAAGATTTACTTTAATTTGAAGGATTTAGGATTTAGGGGTTTAGGGTCAGGGTTTAGGTTTACAGTTTGAGATTTTGCATTGTGATTCAAAATTGAAGGTTAAGGGGTTAGGATAATAGATTGATTTGTTATGATTCTATGTCATATCATCATATTAGAGTACTAATTAAAGTTCAAAATTTGATATATTATGAACACTTTTAGAGATGGTGCACCCAAAAAAGTGAGTGCACTAAAGTAACCACTATATATATATATAATACACTAATTTAGAACTAAAATTATCACTCTAATCACGAACAATTTCAAATTCATATCATCTAGCATAAAAAGTTATAATAAATCATTCAAACTATCTAAGAAATGAATCATAATATATTTTTATTAAATTAGACTTATTTAGTAATTAGGGTGACAATCCATTGTGAACCACACAATGCCAACAAAGAGGTTGAGTAACAAAGAAAATGAAGCAAATATAAAATTAATAATTTTTGCTGGATAGTCTTAGTTTAAGTTATATTATTTTGTTCTCATAACTTTTTGATGGTTAAAGTAGTGAACCAATAAGATATGGGTGGTCCATATGGTTTTATGTCTAACCATTAAAAATAATTTGATCCATTCCAAGCAATCCAAGCAAATAGCAAGACGTTATAACTAGTTTGTTGGTTCTATTGGTACAACCGTGAATCTAACCCGATTCTTATAACAATTTTGCAACATTGTGTTCTACTGAGTCCTAACATTGCACAATTATGTTGTTAGAACTCCCAGGGCTCTTACTAAATCTCAATCGTTCATACAAGTAATTACTGTAGGACATGCCTCATATATGTCAAATCTTGAGCACAATTGAAGATTAATCATTAAATTCAACTGTTGAAATGAAGTGGTGTATTTTTACATACTCAATATTTAGACGATATTTTTATATTCCATGCTTACTTCATATTGATTGTCCACATACGATTTGTATCATTAACCTTTCATCCTTGACAATACGTCTATATGTTGTTGGCGCCCCACCATATCCGCTTCTTCATTGATCGTATATACATCACTCACATCTACACTATATCACTACGATCGTATTAAGTCGATACAAAATTGGACGAATATTTAATGCGTGATAAACATAATTTAAACAACTCCAATACAAAACCCTTACAACTAATGAAAATCAGGAAACAAAATTGGACGAATATTTAATGCATTAATGCCCTGTTCACTTCCCATTTCATTTTCTGTTTTCTGTTTAAAAAATGAAAATCAGGAAACAAATGACATTTAAACGTGTTCACTTGACCATTCAATTTTCCATGAAAAAACCCAATTATTACAAATGGGAAAGCTTTGGGAAAACGATTAATACCTGTTTTCCGAAAACAATGACACGGGTTATGCCCCGTTTCCCAGCGGAAAACGCACTAATCCATTCAATCGGCCCGCGTTTGATTCACCACAGCGCTCTTTTTTTTACCCTTTTTCCTCCGACCTCCTACGCTGCCGTTTTGCCCTCCTAAATCAACCCTAGAGACTAACTTCGGCCGCTCATCTCCCTCACTCCCTCCAGCCCCGCCGCTCATCTCCCTCACTCCCCTCCAGCCCCGCCGCTCAAGAACAACAGCAGCAGCAGCGGTTCCAGGCTGCAGCTCGTTGTGAGGGCGGCCGCCGACGAGGGAGCAGCGCCACCTGCTGCTACTACTACAACGGCAGATGGTGAAGCTCCTAAGGCTAAGGTCAAGCCGCCACCGATTGGACCCAAGAGAGGAACCAAGGTTAGATTTTGGTTACTATATATATAATATATTTCCCTCTACTTGTATTCACTGATCATCATACAGCAAAAGGCTTGACGCATCTGTGTTGTTAAAACATGTGCAACAGGCAGAGGCGGACCTAAGAAGGGGCAGGGTGTGTCGTCCGACACACCCTCGCTCGAGAATTTTACGAAGGACCTACATATTTTTTGTACAAAATTTTTTACTTCGGGATAGCCGACACACCTTCAATAATTATAGCCGACACACCTTCATTATACTCGAAGAAATTATTATCCAAATGAATCAATCTTAATCATAATCCTTTTTAATTTTGTTTAAAATAACTCCTAAAGCATAATCCTATCCTTCATATAAAAAAAAACACTCTCAACTCATACAATATAGTGTTGCTCATCAACTTCAGTTGACACTAGTAGCTGTTGCAAGAGATCATGTGCTCAATAATCGCTTCTTTGAGCATTTTGCTTCATTGCTCAATGTGATTGGTGGATCACCTAAGCGGGTCGATTCTCTTCGAGACAAACATGCCGCAAGGGTTATTGAGGCTCTATCTATTGGTGATTTGGAGAGTGGACAAGGATTGAATCAACAAATAGGGTTGAAAAGGCCCGGTGATACACGTTGGGGATCCCATCTTGGGGCACTTACAAATCTTATGGATATGTTCAGTTCTGTGGTTGATGTACTGAATGAGATGCAATTTGACACACGTTCAAAGGAGGCACAAGGTAAAGTAGTGAATTCTCTGCTTCAAATGCAAACTTTTGAGTTTGTCTTTCACATGAAGATGATGATTGAAGTGCTTGCAATTACAAATGAGTTGTCTATAGCATTACAGAGGAAAGATCAAGACCTTGTTAATGCTATGGAACTCATTAATTGCTCAAAGAAGAGACTACAAGAGTTGAGAGATGAAGGGTGGGAACCTCTATTTGATGATGTGGTTTCATTCTGCACTAAGGAACAAATTCATGTTCCTAACATGAATGACTTGTTCACTCTTGCTGGAAGAACAAGACGTAGCACCCCTCATCAGCCTACAAACTTGCATTACTATCAAGTCGATTTATTCTATGCAGTTATAGATTTGCAATTGCAAGAATTGAATACTCGATTAGGTGAGGTGAACACTAGATTGTTGGAATGCATTTCTTGCTTTAGTCCAGCTAACTCTTTTGTTTCTTTTGATAAAGCAAAGTTGATGAGTCTTACTGAGTTTTATCCCAAGGAGTTTCCATCCAATGTGCTCTCACGACTTCATCAACAATTGGGGGGCTACATTTCTCATGTCAAGGAGGATAAGAGCTTTGATGGATTGCGAGGAATCGACGAGCTAGCTAGGAAATTGGTGGAAAGGGGAAAGGACACTCTTTATCCTTTAGTTTACTTGTTGTTAAAGTTGGTGTTGACCTTACCTGTGGCAACTGCAAGCTGCGAAAGAGCATTTTCAGCTATGAAGATAATCAAGAACGATCTTCGAAATCGGTTGAGTGACCAATTTATGAATGATTGTTTAGTTGTGTATATTGAAAAAGATTTGCTTTGCAGCATAAGTGATGAATGTATTTTAGAGACATTTCAGCAGATGAAAAGTCGTCGCGGTTCGTTGTAAACATGACATTGTGAACTTTATGAATTAATTTCTTTTAATTTTTACTTAATTTTTAATTTAATTTAATTATTATTGTATTTTATCGGCGACACACCTCTCCGACAATCCTGGATCCGCCACTGGCAACAGGTGAAGATTCTAAGGAGGGAATCCTACTGGTTCAATGGAATTGGATCCGTAGTAGCTGTTGATCAGGTGAGACACAAATTTGGAAGTTGTAATCTTGGTTCCTTTTTTTTTCTGTTCAATTTCCACTCAACTGTTGATCATTGTTCTTCCATGTTGTGTTATACATAACTTTATTAGGATCCACTCTGGTGACGACACTCTGTTTGAAGGTGCTCAAAATTATTGCACGGGGGAGAATGCCAATGGAGTGCAAGGAGGACAAGAACGAGAAGCATATAATCATAGTTCAAGCCAAACTCGAACGATGGATGCACGACGAGATGGAATAGCAAACAAGTTGTGGGATGACTTTCAAGCTGGACTTATTTGAATTTTTATGTTGTACTAGTACTTAATTAATATAAGATGTTGTACTTGTATTGTGTTTATTAGTTTAAAAACTATTTAATTCGAATTAAAAATTATAATCATGGCTAGGGTTGTATGATAATCAAGAATCAGAAAACAGAATGAAGCAACTAAACAGGTTTTCTTTTCAGAACTCAGTTTCAGAACTCACCAAAATTCTCAGCTAAACAAGGTTTTTTCAGGTTTTGTTTTCCAGGAAATGGTCAGCTTCGTTTTCATTTTAATTTTGTTTTCTGTTGTGGCAGCTAACAGAAATGGAATGGCAAGTAAACGGCCCATAAGAGTTTCTGCAAATTTGAGTATCCATACATTGTAAAAGTGGTTGGCCTTTCTAAAAAAAAGTATGAGACGCATTTGATAAAAGTTTTAAAGCAAAATTTCCAAAAATGCAGAACGCAAAATATATGTGTAATTATCAGGAGAGATGCTATGTTATCCTTTTGTTGTTTTTAGCTTTTCACGTATGGTTGATGGGTACGTGGGTTGGGTGGGATGTCAACAAATTTTGTGTGTTATGGAAATAGGAGGCAGCGGCAAGAGAGTCAAATTGAGGCTAAGAAAGGCAGCTGCTGTACGTGGTGATAACGTTTGTCTTAGAATTCTGGTAATGATCTTTGATTGATTGGAAAACGTTAACAACTGATCAATCTCGGTCATCTTTTATACAGAGGTGAAGGTTTGGAAGAGAGAGAATAAGAACAGGGAGAAGTAGGGGTGGTGTTTCCCGCGAAACCAAATGTCCACCGCAGGTGCCGAGTTTGTTTCCGGCGATGTTGATTTGATTGTTTCGCGGTGGAAACTCTTGCGGTGCCGTTTGATCGGATGTACAACTGATTGCTGAAATCAGAATGACCGTCAAATCTTCATCGGGCGGTGTTGATTTGATTTATGCACCTCTGAATTCTGAAAACCAAGATGACGTCAAATATCCACCGCACGGTGTTGATTTGATCGATGCACCTCTGACTTCTAATTAACCAATAACGACCGTTACTCGGTTCACACATCTCCAAACAATGTTCGACCGAGGGTGTTTGAGTTTTTAGGGAATCTACGTTAAAACTACTGCTATGGAGATTCCCGTGGTGAGCTCCGCGACTATGCTACGACTACGACTATGGAGATCCTTCCTGAAAGGAGAGCTCCGCGAAGGAGTTACACAGAAAAGATAAATTTGACAGAGTTGTTTTCTGTGTTGATTTTTTGGTCCTTCCTTCTCTCTCCTTGCTCTAGTAAATTTATTTGAAATCACCTGCGTAGCGTTCGCGCTCCGTGGAACTGCTTCCTCAACTGCTCCGTCATGAACTCCCATGTGTCTTTCCTCTTCTTCACACAAGTTCGTCTCTGCTCTTCCTCGCGTGAATCACGTGCAGGAAACGACTTCAACAGAGCTTCTCCATGGAGCTTCATTAAAACAGCTTCGTTATTTTCCCGTGACCTTGTCACCTGTATCATTGCTGGAATTGCGACGCCATTGAATCTCGCGACATCGCTCACCTCACAACACCACCAACCCCGCGACATTGTTGAACTCACTATGCCATCGACCTTGTACCACTGCAGTGTAGTTATACTGCTCGCCATCGCTATGTTGTTTTGACTAAACAATATCGCTTTTTGGTATCGTGACACTGTTGAAGTCAACAACCTTGTTGAACTTGCGATATATGTCCCGCGACAATGTTTAGATCTGTGACGTCGATGTCACTGACCTTGCGGATTCGTTAAACTTTTCAACCTCGTTCAAATCACGAAATCATTGAGTTTGGCGGCGTTGTCGAACTCGCAATGCCGCTGATTTCGTGACAACGACATTGTCAAACTTGCTTCGAAGTACCTCGCGGCACCGCCGACCATCGCGATGTTGTTTAGCTCGCGACATCGCTAACCTTGCGATGCCTTTAAGCCAAATTAATTTTAGGTGTAAACCGGTGGCTATACGGTCCGGTCCGGTTAAATTGGCCCAAATTGATCGGGTCCTGGTCCGGTCTTTTCAAGAATATAAGGACCAAAAATTGGATTGGATACAGTCCAGTCTTGAATCAGTCCGGTCGCAATTCGGTCTTGATTTTAGATTGAGCTTGTGGGAATTTGAGTGGCTTGATGGGGGGATTTGAGTGGCCTGAGGCCTGAAAGGGCGAGGAGGTTAAATTTTGAGCGTTGGGCTCTCTTATTCGTTCTTTATCCGGTTTTTGGTCTGGTCCCGAACGGTTTTTTACCTCAAATGTAGGCCCAAAGATTGGATTGGATTGGATTGTTTGCTATCCGGTCCCGGTCCAGTCTTGGTCCGAGTTATACAGTCCAGTTTCGGGCCATGCAACGAGAATCTTCTATCGGTTGGAGAACAAATGTATGAGAGAATGTGATCGAGAGAGTGATATCTTAGAGAGAGAAGTTGATACTTTGTAGTGATAGAGTCAGAAAATCCGATTCCCTCACCCACCATAGTAAATGCTCTATTTATAGGACACATTGCGGTGGGTGTACATTTGGGTATGGGTATGGGTAATGTGAGAATTCGTGAATTATTGTGAATTATTGTCGTACTTTTCCTCTTACGTAATGTGAGAATTCGTGTGAATGTTAACATATTGGTTGAAGTTATGAAGAGAAATGATTACCCATGGATAACCATGGATACCCGAAACCTGAACGGGTATGGGCATGGTTTTGATTTTCTACCCGTTTCACATGTGGGTATGGGTATGGGTAAAACCCGAACTACTTTGGGTAGGGTAACGGATATGCACTATCCACCTCCGACCCGACCCATTGCCATCCCTACCTAAACTTATACATTTAATGTTATGATACAACTTTAAGTTGTACATTAAAGCACCAATACTATATAGCATAGTAGATGTGCTCTCCAACCAATAATATATTTGAGCTAATTAAGTAGGCTTAAAACTTCGATTCCTTTCCCACATATCTCTAGACGGAAAAATATGATTCTCAGGCCGACAAAGATCTTTCTGAAGATAGTGTCTTCTAATTGTATCTTGGACATAAGGATGGAAGCATGATAGTTGTTCTCTCAAAGCAGGGTTGAAGTTCAAAGAATTCACATCAGATTCTTTTTCCCTATATACAAAGCAAAGCATAGAGTGATTTACCGGGAGGGATAAGTGTGACAATGATGGTGTAGTTGAGTTAGAGTCAACTCTAGCTACATTTGATGAACTACCTTCGTGCCCTTGAACATTTAGGGTTGTCTTTGCCCATTTTATCAAGAAATTTCCACAGTCAAAAGCTACATATTAAAAACCGAATAAGTAAAAATAAAATAATTAAAAAACTTAAACATAATGGACACAATAACAATCCATTTTATACAGCAAAAGCCTCTCTTTTAGTTCTCTATGGAGATATATATAAAACATAAGAAGTTCAAACTAACATATAATAAAAGTAAGGGCTAATACCACTGGAAATACCATCCTTTAGCGAAAGTGCCACTTATATTACGTACTTTCAATAAACACAAAAATATTCCAACGTATTAGGGGTTTGTGTCATTTGTGTTACGCACATTTTTATTGACCGTTAGAATTGACGGTTGACCTGACGGTGGTCAACTTATGTTTGACTATTGCTTATGTGGTGCTTAGGTGTCACCCGCTCTGGCGCCGAGACTTCTTCCCACAGAAACCCAATCCCTCATCCGCCTCACTCCCCCCGCCGCCGCTGCCCCCCCCCCCCCCCCCCCCCCCCCCCCCCAATCCCTAATTACAACCTGCAGCAGGCCAACATCGACATCCCAATCGACGAAATCAACCGCGCCAAAATCCAATTCCACGCCTCCACGGGCGGGAAAACCTGCTCCACTTTCGAGGCCGTCGCCACCAGCCTCTGGAAGCACAGATCCGCCGCGATAGATCTGGATCCGAGCGCGGAGGTGCAGCTCGTCTTCTTCGCGAACTGCCGCCGGCTGGTGGACCCCCTGCTCCCCGACGGTTTCTACTGGAACTGCTTCTTCCAGGTGAAGGTGACCGCCTCGATCGGTTCGCTGGCGGCGGGGGCGGTGGCCGGAGCGATCGAATTGATTCAGGAAGCGAAGGGGAGGTTGAGGGCGGAGTTCGAGAAATACGTGAAGGGAGAGGAAGGGGAAGAGGATCCCTTTGCGCCGCCGCTGGTGTACACGACTCTGTTCATATCGGAGTGGGGGAGGCTGGGGTTCAACGGCGTTGACTTCGGGTGGGCCCGCCGGCGAACGTGGTCCCGATTCAGGGGTCGGGGATTATACCGGTCGGGATCGTCGGGTGGCTGCCGCTGCCGAGGAAGGGCGTCCGGCTGATGACGTGGTGCGTTGAGGAAGCTCATCGCCCCGGTTTGATCCGCCGTATGGCCGGCGATGGAAATTGAATAACAAGCTTTGGTTTGCTTTTGCTTTTGCTTTTACTTTGTATTGTCCCGGACCGATGATGAAGATTGAAGAGAATAAAACTGGAAAAGTCAACAAAAGGATTGAATTGAACGTGGCGGTTTTCTTCAAGCAGAAAGCAGAGGGACGGAGCAGAGCGGCGATGAGAGATGGAGCAGAGGAGGCGATGGGTGGGTGGCGCCGGGAAGAGGAATCATCCAGATTCTTTTTTATTAAATAATATTTTTAATAAATTTTCCATCTCAGTTGCCCCTTTATGTGCTGACTGTGTTTTCTGTTAATTTCTAACAGAAAATTTAACGGAAGAGACGATTTGGTATACAAATGACATATCGAAAACTATATAATATAAGTGGCACTTTCGCTAAAGATTGGTATTTCCAGTGGTATTAGCCCTAAAAGTAACGCATTACCAATTGGAGAGAGTTGAGAAGGGATGAGGAACTCATCAATTGGCCAGTAGGTATCGCCATAGCGTACAGTCGAATGAGACTGTGTCAAAAGGGAAAAGCGGTTGCTGGTTTGTTTAATCAAATAGTAGAGGGACAATAGAATTTTTATGTTTCTAACTAAAAGGGGTGGCATAAAATATTTGTTTTGACGTTTATTTCCTTCCCCTAATCCCAATTATTGTGCTAGCTCTACCTCTGATCAAACCGAATCAACAAATGAGTCAACATACATGGATATCGTCACTTGAACAAAGTATAGCTTATGGAAATAAAAAATACTCTCTAATCACAGGAGAGTAATTATCTTCGTTGTTACACAACATTAAAGATAAAAAATGCAATTGATATCAATCAATAAATAGCCAATTAACATTAACTTTGAAATATCAAGTCATATCTCTACCACAGGGCTTGTTTTCTTGGATGACCCAACTCTTTTTTTCAACATCGGCTTAACCTTCTCACCAAGCTTCACAATCCCCAAAAACATGAGCCGATAAAAAACCACCATTCCAAATAATATAGCGATATCAATCCACTTGGAGTACCCTGTATCTACTTGCCAAACACTCCTCAAAATTTCCTCACCCGAGATGGAAGAATTAGCTCCTTGTTGAGGATTGGGGAATGTCAACCCTTCAAACTCGTTCTTGTAGAACCCTTGATTCGTATACTTATGGAATGAGATGTAGTACATAGGGTACTTCCAAAAGAGATTAGGAAGGTCATTGGGCAACCTAAAGAAACCTCCATTTAGCACCATCACACCTTGAATTCCAGCTCCTGTTATCACCCCCATCAAGAAATCAGGCACAAAGCTCGCCACCATCATCATGAGGCTCTCTACCAGCAACATTGCGACGAACAACAAGAGAGCAAAGTAGGTGAAGTGTTCGATGCTTTTCTGAAGTCCCACGAGAAAGTAAGCTATGACTCCTGGGATTAAGGATATTAGAAAGAGGTATGGGATGGAGGATAATGTGTTCCCAACCACGAATGCTCCCACTTCGTAGTGGCCATTCAGCCTCTCTCGTCTAAATATCTGATCACCGATAAAAACATCATTCACGCTTAGTAAAAAGTGAGGTTATGTTTGTTTCAACTAGTAGGAGACTAGTGAGAGAAATGGCTATCAATGCGTATTTGATTGAAAAAGTCAAAAGATAACTTTGGAGTCGCTATAAACTTGACATTTTATTTAATGAATTTGTTACTAAATTTTTAAATAATTAGGTTCTTGTTGACGATAACTCGCACAAATAACAAAATAAAAAATACCATATGTAACTAGCAACTAGTAAGTATTTGACAATCTAGTTTAGCTCATATATAATTTATCAACTCACTAACTCGATCGAATCACAACCCATATTAGTTAAATTCTGAAACCCAAAAATCATTTCATCCCTTACTCGATAGCTAGTTAGATATAGTACATCTGCCATTTTATTTTTAATTAAGTGAGTTGACTCGTGCAAACTAGACCCATTGAACGAAAACAATATTGTCGAGATAGATAAAGAGTGTCCTAATATAATTATTATTTACTTAAGTGATATCTAACTTAAATGAAATTTTGGTGACATATTTGCTGCTAACCTCGAAGTTTAGTGACATTTTTCAATTGAACCTATTATTGTTGACTCTTGTATTGAATTGGCCCAACTTTACAAAAGCATATAAACAAGTCAAGTTACCTTCATATCCTCCATGAAAGAAGGGAATCCACCAATTGCCATGAACGTCAAGAATGCTGCGACGAACATGAGCATCGTTCCTCGAGCCTACAAAATTAAGGAACCATAATTTGGATTAGTGAATCATTTCATTACAAAATATTTTAATAGGTCAATGGGCTCTAATAGTGGGGGAAAAGAAAAGCACCTGAATTGAGCCAAAGCTAAAGCCTACATCATAGAATATACTTCCAACGCATAAGCTCAAGGCAATGTAGATTGCTAGGCGAAGCCAGTAATAGCCAAGGTCACGATACATGTTCAGAAAGGATCTCCGGGTAAGAACAATGCATTGAGTGATGAAGCTTGCTTGCCCACCTTTCTTGCCAAAAGTTCCTCCTTTCTTTTGAAATCCCAACAAAAAATCACCACAAAATTTCCCCTAGCTAGGAATTTGTTTACGTTGAGAAAAACCTTATTGAATTTGATCAAAGATACCTGTTGGCATAAGGTATGAACATGTTGTTCAGTTTGCTGTCGAATCACACATGATTTGTATGAAGAAACAAGAATACTAATGACTTCCTCTGTTCTTACTGAACCACCATGCCCTTGTTCAATGTCTTCCTGGTAATATGTAATAATAAAACACAAGATTTGAGAATGAAACTAATCACCACTTCAATGCAGGAGTATATATATGAGTGATCTAATTACCTGATCGAAGTCCTTGTTGATGGTTTGAAGATAATGGTCAGAAGGGTTTCTAAGAGTTGGACAGGGGAAACCATTGGAAGTGAAAAACTGCAACAAAGCAGAAATCTTTGGCTTAGTGATTGGAAGCTAAGTGAGTCTCAACTGCAAGTAATTTTTCCTATTTTGACTAGCCACATACCTGTTCAGTCGAAGCAACATGACCGAAGTAGATTGTCCTTCCAGAAGAGAGGAGACATAGGCTTCGAAAGAGCTGGAAAACCTCACTACTTGGCTGATGAACTGAAGCAACGACAGTGATCCCGTCGTTTCGAGCAAGCTTCAGAATCCTGCTCATGACGTGGCAAGAAGCTGCACTATCGAGCCCGCTGGTGGGCTCGTCCAAGAATAACAACTTGGGCCTCCTTAACATTTCAATGCATATGCTAACTCTCCTCTTCTGCCCGCCGCTCAGGCCCTTAACGGCCCACCCGCCAATTCTCGTGTTCAGTGAATCCTGCAGGCCCATTTCCTTTATCACCATCTCTGCTCGTTTCTTTTTCTCGACGATTGATATGGAATCTGGCAGCTGGAGTTGTGCTGAGTAGTAGACTGCCTCTTTCACTGTGAGAGTCGTCATTAAAGTGTCGTCTTGTGTCAAGTAGGCCTGAGAGACATAATAATGAAAATAAAATGTTAAATTGCTAATTATCATATTGTGATCAACAGTAAACTAAGTTGCACGGTAAGTTTTCCTCATAAACTCAACTTCTAATGTCAACGAAAAACAAACCCCCTTAGATGGGTTACGGTGCTAATTGTACAATAGTTAGCACCGTCCTAACCAAGGGAAAAACTACTATTAGTTTGAATTAGTAGTGATTTAGCTTAGATGTTGTATTTATTTTATAATAATCCGTAGTGATTTTTGCTAGTTATCACGGTGCTAACCCCTATAAGGGTTAGCACCTAATCCCATCCCAAACCCCCTTATAGGAAATTAGTTAGGCCGTCCATAACTGCCAACTGATTATTAGACTTCATCAGGCTACGGATAGAGTCGATAATCAGCATAATTAGATATGAGCCTTTTATTTTTATTCGGGCCAGATCTAAGGTTGGAATTAAAGCCTTTGCATTTTTTCCTAGTTTTTTTTAATCGATTCTTATCTTTTTTTTCTAATTTGGATTGCAATTTTTTTTATAGACGGAACGAGTTTGTTGTGCTCTACAAAATAAGAAACATTTTTAATAAATTTCGAGAATTTTTTTTATGTCATTCATATCACTTGTTACCACCTTCATACTATATGGTATTTCCTTCTTTTTGAAGTCGATTTTGAAAATTTCTGCACAGAAGGAACGAGTTCAGCATCATATATTGGATCTAGAAATTTATGGGGGAAAAGTACAGGACCAAAAATACTACTCCATACCACCCTGGTATAGGAGTGGTTTCTTGTGGTACATAATGTTGAAAGCTGTAAATGATAGTTAGTATATTCTTATTATCATGTATTAAACCATTCTACAGTCTGGTATGTTATTCCACCATGATACACTTCCATACCACATGATATGCTCTTTATGGGGGCTAATTGCATGGTTGGTCACTGAGATTACAAAAAACGTTCAAGTTTGGTCACTCGAAATATTTAAATCCATTGGTGGTACTTCAGTTTACCGAAACCGTTCACGTTTGGTCACTCTCCGTCCAACTCCGCTAATTTTTGCTGATGTGGCAGTCAACTCTCAAAGTTGACCGTTAACTTAATGACGTGGCAACTAAAAATTATTACATTCAGTAAAACCCACCAGTCCTTCATAACCTGTGTTCTTTAATCCATCTGTTCCCTATCAAATCGTTCTAACCAAATCTAAAAAAAAAAATACTCGGTACCAAAAGAACCCAGATCAAGATCCATATTTGATTTCCCAAATCCTTCCCCATCCTAACCCCCCCCCCCCCTCCAAACTTCACAAGTCCTTCACTTCGTCTCCTCATCTCGCCCAGAACACATACACCAAGAAAATCCCCAAATCCGGCAAAGACAACTTTCCCAATCATCTGAAGCCGGCGAGCCAGTGTTCACTGATTCTCTCCATCTAAACTCCACACCTCTCTCCAGCCGGCAGATCTGAACTATCCCGGCGACAATCCGTTGGCAACCATCAGCCCGTCGTCTTCCTCCCTTCACAACGCCTCGCGACGCCGTGATAGACCGTTAATTACACATGTTTTTACCCCTGTTCTTACACCGTTTGAGATGTGATTTCTCGTGTTTTAGACCGATTTCACGCTAGGTTGTGCTTGTTTGTGATATTTCAGGTCCAAGTACGTGAATGGAGGCTTGGGAGCGAGTTTGGGGTTGATTGGACGAAGATCGGGCGCGAGGCAAGTCAAAAAGGAGTCCATACGGGCACAC